AGAGCGAGGAAAGAGACAGAGAGATAGGCTGACACAAAGAATGGCAGAAACGAGGAGAGGCAGAGACAGAGGGGGACAGGGACAGGCGGACAGGGACAGGAGCAGAGGGACAGGGACAGACGGACAGGGCCAGAGGAGGGACGGGGGAACAGAGGGGGGGGGGCAGTGGGACAGGGACAGAGAGGGGGACAGGGACAGAGACAGAGGGACAGAAACACAGAGACAGAGGGACAGGGTCAGAGAGAGGGGACCGGGGGACAGGGGAGAGGGGGACCGGGGGACAGAGGGAGGAGAGGGGGGCAGGAGACCAAGAGAGAGGGGACAGAGGAGAGACAGGGGATAGAAAGAGTGGGCAGGGGGGACAGGGACAGACAGAGAAGGACAGGGACAGAGGGACAGGAACAGGGGGGCAGAAAGGGCAGGACAGGGGGACAGGGGGCAGAGATAGGGACAGGGGAACAGAGACAGGGACAAGGGGACTGGAGGAAAGGGAGGGGGACAGATGAAGGACAGCGGACAGAAAGAGTGGGCAGGGGGACAGAGAGGTACAGGGGACAGAGAGAAGGACAGGGGGACAGAGATGGACAGGGGGACATAGAGGAACAGGGGGACAGAGTGACAGGGGGGACAGAGTGACAGGGGGGACAGAGAGAGGAACAGGAGGACAGAGAGGAACAGGGGGACAGAGAGAGACAGGGGGACAGAGAGAGGGACAATGGGATAGAGAGGGACAGGGGGACAGAGAGATGGAAAGGGGGGACAGAGAGGGGGACAGGGGGAAAGGGATCGGGGACAGAGGACAGAAAATGTGGGCAAGGGGACAAAATGAGGGACAGGGGGACAAAGATGGACAGGGGGACAAAGATGGACAGGGCGACAAAGATGGACAGGGGGACAGGAGGAAAGGGGGGAGATGTATGAGGGGGGATTGTTTGCGAGAGATGGAGAAGGGGTATTTAGAACGGTAAGTTAGAGAGGGGGCAACTAAGGCGCATCATTGAAAAGCAAATGAGCATCATTGCAATAGCAGGAGCCACGCACATCTTCAGCCTGCGTTGTTGAGACATTGTCAATTAAGCGGTGTCCAATAACAGTATCTTCGGTATTTAAGCGATACCTTAAAAAATACTGGAAATATTGAAAGCTATTAATCCAGATATTAATCCCCTTGTGCAACGTACACAAGAGGCAACAGCTTCTAGCTCTGCAAGCGGCAATATAAAATAGAGAATAGGCGATTGTTTTCACTCATAGTGTAATAAACCCACGGACCCACCCACCCGCTGAAGCCGTAAATACCAAGACATTACTTCCGTTTAAAATTTAGCCGGAATAATCCTCAGGTATGTGGAGGATGTGGGAGGCCTTTGATCAACCGCCGACTTCCTGCCCCGTCGACGGGGCCATCAGCCCTCAGTCTGCCCTCAGCCAAATTCATGTGAAACATGTATGTGTGTGTATTAAATATTTTAATTTATTATTTCTAAGATTTAGCTGTTAGCTCTTGGACCCCGCCTTTCTAAGCGTCTGTTGTCTAATGTACCGACTCTCGCCCTCTTTTCCTCCATCATATCTAAACAACATATATTTTTATCTAACACACACACACATCCCCAAGATGCAGCCTTTAGCAGCTTCCTGACTTTCAGGTTCCTATTTACTGCAAGGTGAATAGAGGCATTAGTGTGTGTATGTTTGTGTCTGTGTGTGTGTGTGTACGTGTGTGTGTATGTGTGTGTGTGTGTGTATACTCACCTAGTTGTGGTTGCGGGGGTTGAGCTCTGGCTCTTTGATCCCGCCTCTCAACTGGCAATCAACTGATGTACAGATTCCCGAGCCTACTGGGCTCTATCATATCTGCATTTGAAACTGTGTATGGAGTCAGCCTCCACCACATCACCTTACCTTGAGGTGGTTACCTTGAGGTGCTTCCGGGGCTTAGCGTCCCCGCGGCCCGGTCGTCGACCAGGCCTCCTGGTTGCCGGACTGATCAACCAGGCTGTTGGACGCGGCTGCTCGCAGCCTGACGTACGATCCTAATGCATTCCATCTATTAACTACTCTGACACTGAAAAAGTTCTTTCTAACATCCCAGTGGCTCATTTGGGTACTAAGTTTCCACCTGTGTCCCCTTGTTCGCCTACCACCCGTGTTAAACAGTTTATCTTTATGTACCCTATCAATTGCTCTGAGAATTTTGTAGGTAGTGATCATGTCTCCCCTTACTCTTCTGTCTTCCAGTGTCATGAGGTGCATTTCTCGCAGCCTGTCCTCGTAACTCATGCCTCTTAGTCCTGGGACTAGCCTATTGGCATACCACTAAACTTTTTCAAGCTTCGTCTTGTGCTTGACAAGGTGTGTGTGTACGTGTGTAACACACACGTACTTATGTGGTACGTGTGTACTACATAATTGTAAGGCGTTTGCTGAATTAGAAAAGTCGGCTAGCAGTCCACCCTTAACGACACAATTAACTCATTACATAAAAAAATACGTGGCTGTGCAACAGTGTGTGGGAATTGGGGAACTGGTGTGCATTTAGACGACTGGTGAGGACCAACAATGACGTAGAAGGATGGCACCAGCGTCTGAATCAAAGGGCAGTGAGGAACAACTTGGCTTTATATATTTTAATCCCCTTACTGTACCGTGAGGCGTCCCTGGTAACCTTGCAATACCAACTGGTTTCTGATCAAAAGCTAAAGTCTAGTCGCCGCAAGGGCAATAAAGAGAAACATGAACATTTGTGGAAGCTTTGGGACCGTTACGAGGAAAAACAGATAAGCACCTCACAGTTCCTCAAGGAATGTTCGCGTTTTATCCCAGGAAGTGCCTGAACTAGAATTAGAAAACAGCAGTCTGTTTACTGGTTGTTATTTAACTTAAGTTAGTTGTAAATGATAATGTAAAAATAGCCACTGAGAACTGATGAGTTGGCCAAGACTTTTGCTCGTAAAGAGGGAATTGATTACCAACTTGGACTGCCTTTGAGCAGCCTGAGGGCAGCAATATCCCAGGAACATCAACTAAATTTCGGAGACTTGAGGCAAAGTTAAATTCACACCAGTTACTCCATCTATCATCATTCTATTATGCAAAAAGAACCGCACGTCTATAGGTCATCCAATAATGTTAGCAGACTTCTAGATGTTACCACTGCTAGGCTTAGGCTCGGCTACAAGTACCTCTGGGAGTTTGTAACATCTGCTGATGTAGATTTGACTAAATGTAAACTCTGTCAGCAGAACTATTCGCATACTTTGCGTCATTATATAATGGAATGTGAAAAAATCGCGGAATTTAGAGATAACACCATCAATAGTGTCCAAGAAATGTGTAAGTACTTCATTCATAATGATGTGCTGCTCGAAATCTTAGCGAAGTATCCAAAATTTGCTTACTGTAGGTAATGCATGCACATGACTGTAAAGCTGCCGCCCAGTTGGGTGGGTGTGGAGCACATGACTGTAAAGCTGCCGCCCAAGACTAGTAATTGTGTGACTCACCATAGATGTAAAGTGCCTTGTATAGTGACTGTTGTGAGCCTCTTGTTGATCACTTGTGACACAAAGATTATTGATGTGTGTATTTGTGTAGGTGATTAGATATGTATGTGTATGTATATATGTATACGTATATATATATGTACATGTATGTATGTATGAGAGTGTGTACATGTATATATAATATTAAAAATTTTGTAACTAGCGTCACAAATTGTTATTTGCTTAGCTAAACGAACTAGAGGGTTCAGTTCCTGAACCGATTATGTGCCTCTGTAATCCTTTACACCACCGCCCACGGGATGGGTATGGGGTGCATAATAAAAAAAGAAATTGAATTGAATTTTTTTTTTTTTTTTGCAGGGATATTCCTGCGCGGGCCCTAAGCCTCTGGCTGGCCCACTAAGTGTTGCTTGTTTCTGTTTTACATGGGTGGAGTATGAGTATTTATGACTCGTATGATCGCTTCAGTAAGATTTTGCCATATGTGTTTAACAACTTCTTCTGCTCTGTTGAATCTAAGTTGAAATCTTAATGGGTTTGTGACTGTGCACTGTGTTAGATAATGTTCCAGTGGTCTGACGGGCATTTCTCCACAGTGTTGACATTTCCTCTCATCTTCCGGAACCTGTAAGCCTATTTCCCATGCACATGGGTATCCAAGCCTGATGCGATGTAAGTGTACTTCTGTTGTTCTACTGCTCCCTTTCATCAAACTAAGTGGTTCGTAGTTGGTTGAATTCTTGTACCATGAATTGAATTGGTCTGATTAAGACTTTATGACCATGTAATCTATGTTTTGCTCCACTACTTACTGGTTGAGTATGGGGTGCATAACAAATAATAGCCTCCTTCGGGGGCGCCTTGTTTCTAAACGTGTTAGTCTTAAATCCTTTAATCTCAAATCTTGCTACAATGTACCTCTTAATATATGTTATGTACTCTCGCAACCCAATGTACCTTCTTGTATATAAATAAATAGATTTCAACTGTAAGGGGGTATGGTTTGCACCTTGTTATTCTAATAATGGATAAATAATTCTAATAATGGAAGCGCTAATTATATGAACAAGTGCCATATATTTATTCAGACGAGAACAACAGCGAACACAAACCAGCGCATATACGAACGGAATGGTTTGTATGTACAAACTTCTCAGTGAACGAAGTTGTTTCTAGCCCGGTATCCGAAATTGCAGTATACGACTTGACCAGTCCCCCTCTGTAACCCTTTCCACTACCGCCCCCACAAGATGGGTATGGGGTGCAAAATAAATGAACTAAACTAACGTTGATATATACATATTATATACAAATAATGGTATATAATGGAACATTATATACATTCATTGATTATATTGACAGAACCATTAAATCATGTAGTGTACTCTATGCAATAAAATATATTACTCTGAAACTCGTATCAGTCAGTAAATAAAATATTGGGCTCCTTTTTATTACAAAATTCGCTGGTTATTAACCTTTAGCTGACGAATGTCAGCAGTTTAGACGTGGGATCCCTGGCCGCCATCTTCAGACCAGCTGTGAGGTTCCTAGCAGGACCGGCCGGGGAGATCTTCTCTTTGTCAGTAAGTTTCCCGCTCTTGTGCTATCATATTGTGTCTCAGGTGAGGTGAGTGTGAAGTGTGAGGTATGAGTGTGAGCACCCGTAGCACAGGTGTTGTGTGAGGGGGGGGGGGGGGCAGCGTCTGGGAGACACTAACATTCTCTGCACATCACAGCTGATTGTTGCGTAGTGGCGGCCTGTTATCTTGGCAGGATTTCGGGGCTTAGCGTCCCCGCGGCCCGGTCCTCGACCAGGCCTCCTTTTTGTTACACACCCCCAGGAAGCAGCCCGTAGCAGCTGTCCTAGCAGAAAATAGGTACATGGTAGTTACCATGTACCGATTTTCTGCTAGGTGAAAAGGAGCATAAGGGTGAAAGAAACTGGCCATTTGTTTCAACCTCCACCGGGGATCGAATCTGGAATCTCTGTACTATGAATCTCGAGTGCTGTCCACTCAGCCGTCAGGCCTATCAAACCGTTGCAACAATTTACATGCAACTTTACATACAATTTTATGGCAGAAACTTTTTTTTTAACTAAGTTTAAGGGTTGATACAGGAGTTCAGTAAAGCTGGATGCCAAAATGTTATCCCAATATTGACGCTGTGCCCCAGTTAGTGGCTCTAGACATAGTATATACTGTACTAGCTCTTATCTAGAAACCCAACAAGAAATACAAGAATGTTTGTAACTCATTTTATATGTGTGTACTTTTACTAATACAAATACTGTACTAATAAAGAATTACAGGCATACCTCAGAATAAGAGTTTAATCCGTTCCTGGAGACGCCTCGCCTTCCGAAAACTCGCATTCCGAAGTTAATTTCCCCATAAGAAATAAAGGGAAATGAATTAATCCGTTCCTGACTACCCCAAAAACCCCACATCAAACTAAATTTTTATACCTAATTTACCTAATTCATCTAAATAAACCTACAAAACTGTGTTCCAGTTATTACTTACCTTGCTGTCGAGTGCTGTAGGCGTATGGAAGATGGTGAGGAGGGGGGAGGAGGAGAGGAGTTACTGTTTGGAAGGGGAGTCCCCTTCCATAATCACATCACATAACCCCATGCCTTGTAACACTATGGATACCACTTCTCTTTCTAAATTTTTCAAACCAGCCCCTGCTTGCCTTAAACTCTTTCTTATCTGCATCACTCGTTGCAGGGGTATTCTTTAGAAGGTCTTCGTGCAACACCCTGGCTTTCTCACAAATAATGGCCTCCGAAACACTATCACCCCTCAACTCCTTGTCGTGTATCCAAATTAATAACAACTTTTCCACTTCAAGTATTTGTGGTCTTTGTGCCGTTAATGTTCTTACTCCTTTTGCCACTTTAGCACCCATAATCTTATTTTTCTTCTTAAGTATAGTGCATATTGTTGATGTGGCTTTGTTGTAATGCCTACAAAGTTCAACAACACGTGTACCGTTCTCATGCTTCCGAATGATCTCTTGTTTCTCCTCTATTGTCATCCTCACATGAGCTTTCTGGCCTTTATCCTTACCACTGGCTTTCTTGGGACCCATGGTGAGATATATAATAACAAATTGTATAGACAAATCACCAAAAATCCAACAAAGCACTGAAAATCCGCGAGAAGAATTGATGTGGGGGTAGTCACTGAGCGCGAGACAATGGTAAACTGAGGGGCGGAGGGGCGACGATCGCCGAACCACCACGCGCTAGGTCCGCCTGTACGCGTATCAACAAACTCGCGTCCCGAAGTAACCCTCGCCTTCTGAGACAAATTTTTGGAGTAAATACTGCTCGCCTTCCGAAAACCTCGCATACAGGGACAATCGCATTCCGAGGTACCACTGTATTATAAGTTCAGTCAAGTTAACCTGGCTTTTCGTACATACTGTAATTCATTTTCTAACTTTAAACTAATTTCTGTTATCGAACCGGGCTGCGGGAATGCTATGCCCTGAAATCATCTCAAGCTAACCTCCCTCTCTTATAGCACTACTGATGCTAAATTGATGCTCTATCACAGCTTGAACACTTATGTTTGTCTGCCACTTTGCATTAGTATCACAATCATATCATCTAGGAAATTGAACTCTAAAACCCTACACACACCTACATACTTGTTTTAAGAGGATAATAGTAGTATACTGTAGTTTGTGGTTTTAGTCACAACCTGTACATTCAACATGCATGCCATTTATCTACTAGAAGCAAAATATGGATACAGTGCAAGTATAATAATTTGTATTATTTCATATATTTTATCATGGATAGATGAGTTGCACAATAAATTCTTAACACTTTCGCGCTCTCCGCAAAGGTCACTCAGCCAACCGAATGTGCGCGCTGCGTTTTTATCGCTTAAGCGTAAAAACAAAAATGTGTATACTCTTTTTACTCTTCTGACCTTAGTTCTCATGCTACGTATTTCATTTTGGTACCAACGTGTTCGCAATAAAATTCTCTAGAAGAACACTAGTAAAATAAGTCACGAAACATATAGGGATACCAGCACCAAATAAATAACTACGTAGATGACTCGCCGTGAGCGCCCATCAGCAACAAAATGTTTTTACTCTTGGGATTGTAATCACCTCCACACTTGTTCTACAGCGTTAATTTTGGTATCAATGGACTCGCAATGAAATTCCCAACACGGTGATATGAATATAAGCGTAGAATAATGATGCAGCCCGCCCGCAAGAGTGTGGGAAGTGGTGAAATTGTTACCCGGTATCGGTGACGGTACGACTCACGGCGCTTTGAAAGTTTATACTTATTTCACTCTCATGACATTAATTTTCTATGTACGTCATTCATTTTTATGTCAATGTGTTCGCAATAGAATGTTCTATGTGCCCATAGGTAAAAAATATCAACAAAGCATAAGTTAGAATAGCGACAAATATAAAACAACGCTGGAACATATCAGTGAGCGTCAAACACACACGAAATATTTTTACTTTTGTTATGTTTGTCAAGATTATACTTGTTGCACACAGTTATTTTTGGTTGTATATTGATCGGAATAAAATTCCCTAAACAGACATATGCATATAATACATGATATGGGGGAAGAATTACCAGTATAAACGGCTAAAGTCACCCACCTGCAACCCGTTTGGGACAAAATACCATTTGATCGAAGTTATCCACACCTTTCATGAACTTATTGTACCATGCAGCCTAGTGGTGAGAAAGAGAGCCTCATAGCGCGCAGTTTGAAACAAACCCAAAGTAAATCGGATAAAAATTGAATTTTATACAAATATTTTAAAAGTAGACATAACTTTATGTCCACTATGCGTTTACGTTAGACGAAACCGAACGCGCCGGCGCGTCCAGATAGCGCGAAAGTGTTAATTGTTATTAATTATTACAAAAGTTGCTTAGATCATTGTTCTTTCTAATTTATTAATACTGTATATAGTAAGCAGTTTACTATATAAACTTTTGTCAGTTGGGAATGAATGTAATATATAAAACTAACCACATTTCCAGTCATGGCCACTCACTTCGCCCCAGCTTTTCGTACTCCGCTGACAGACTTGACTGGTCGCCTATTGACTCATCAGTCTTCCCCAAAGTGTGCAGACTTTGAGATGCGTGCTATGGAGTGTCTCGAAGCTTATGGAGTGCAGCGTGGAAGAATTCAGTGTATAGACTACCTTGATGATCTTAGGGAATGTGCTTTTGAAACGAAACAGGTAGGTGTTGCTGTATTTACATACAGTACAATGTACTGTAGTTGTATTCATTGTTTATTACATGTTTTCTGGGGGGGGAAACCTCATCAGCTCCTTCAAGCTATCATACACTAATCTGTGTTATACTATCTGGTGCCATCAGTTGCCGAGTTCTATTGGACTACTGGGAAATGCGAGCCAGAACGTGGTCCCCCTTAGAAGAGGCACAGGGAGTTATGCCCTATGAAAATTTTACATTTAAAGTTGGATCATACTTGCCACCACTAGGAAAGCACCCAGAAAGGTAAGCAAACCAACACAAACTACAGTACTACATGGATTAAAAATGAAACGGCAGCCTCAAAACTGCCAAAAGAACTCTCCTAACAATCTGGGAACTCCCCCCAACAACAATGAAAGCAAACCACCCAAATTTTCATGAAAGTATCGTGTCTGCTAGTACACTTTACCATCCCCCTCGTTTGGGAGGAGAAGGGAGGCATACTGGGTCAGCCGGCTCACTGCAACCTGTTCGCTACTTTCAGCTCTTTGTAGCCCGTTTGGGTTATAAGGAACCCAATTTTGTTGCCACGTGTTTACGTCCATGGCTTTGGCTTTATTGGTTTTGCCAACCCTGCTCCGAGGCTGTTCATAAGAGTTTAGAATAAATGGAGCTGCATGAGCTCGGGATTCTCTTCCCTGTGCACTATTGGAGTACTACCCTTACAGTCAGGTCTACCTTCTTTGGGGCATTCAGGATACGCTCCCTCTAGGGGGCCTCCTCGCTTTGAGGGTGGTTCTCATCCTTACTGTAGGCTCTACTGTGGCCTGTCAGTCTTCCCTGGGGTTGGGAGTGTTTTGGGCTTGGGGGGGGGGGGAATTGCATGACCAGCTTTTCCACGAGCACATAGGTATGCCGGTGTTTCTTCCTCATTGCCTGTTCTCTGTGGCTCGATTTGAGGTGACTAGGGGTCTTTTGTGTGCATTTTCATTTTGCACTTTTATCTACTTGGGGAGTTCTGCCTTTTGCCTAGGGTATGTATGTGTGTATTCACCTAGTTGTATTCACCTTGTTGTGCTTGCGGGGGTTGCGCTCTGCTCTTTCGGCCCACCTTTCGTCTGTCAATCAACTGTTTCTACTACTGCTACTATTTTTTCTCCACACCAACACACACACACTCCAGGAAACAGCCCATGACTGCTGACTAACTCCCAGGTACCTATTTACTACTAGGTAACAGAGGCATAAGGTGAAAGAAACTCTGCCCATCGTTTCTCGCCGGCGCCCAGGATTGAACCCAGGACCACATGATCACGTGTCCAGTGTGCTGTCCGCTTGGCCACCGGCTCCACAGAGTGTGCGTGTGTATGTGTGTACTCACCTATTTGTGCTTGCGGGGGTTGTGCTTTCTCTTTGCTCCCGCCTCTCAACTGTCAATCAACTGGTATATGTGTGTGTGGCCGAATCCCCCTTGTTGGTTCCCCCCCCCCCCCCCCCTCCCCTTTTGACCTTCCCGTTAGCTTCAGGTGGCCTGTTATCAGCAGGGGGTTCTACCGGTGTAACATTTCCAGTGTCCGGACTTCCTGCAGGGCACATACCCTGCAGCCCTGAAAATCCCCTACAGTACCAGCTCGGTTGTACTATGGATACCTCTTCAGGGTCTGCTCTCGCCTTGTGCGAATTTGAGGGTTGTTAGTCGCCTGTACCACTTGGTAAAGTTTGTTCATTCTGCTTCCGCCGTGCAGCCTGTTGGGTCAGTGACACTTACGATCCTGAGTCATGTGGGACTTGTTTCACCCCCCCCCCCCAATGTACTCCAACTTACCCTCTCCTCTGTTGATGTTTGAGGCAGCAAACGCTGTGTATTCCAGGTTTGTATTCCGTCCTGTGGTCAAAACTGGTTAGGCATCAATTGGGTTTCCGGTCGGCGTTGCTTCTCCGCCTCCTGTGGCCTTGCTCCGGCTGCAGCTTGACCTTTCTGGTGTTGAGAGGGATCCGGATGGCTCAGTGATTGCTTGAGCAGTAAGGAGCCTTTTCCTTGCCTTTCTCATTTTTGCCGTTAAGTGGGGTTTGTCTTTGGAGGGTCGGGTTCTTTTGGGGCCTTCCCTTTTCCGCTCGTGATCGCTGGGTGCAGACTCCAGGGGGATTGTACTAGTTATTGTCACCTGTTCTCTCAGTTTTCAGGGTTTGTTCCTTGCTCTTGCTTCATCCTTGCTTGACTTTCTCAGTTGCCTTGGCAGTCAGTTGGGGTTTCTGGCCTGCACTTACCTATCTGGCAGTGGTTGTTGACACCCTTGTTAAGTTTTCAGTGCAGGAATTTGCAGATGTGTGGCAGGTGCTGCAATGAGTTTGTATTTCTCCAGGCTCATAGTGTTCCAGCTCCATTTGGGCTTTGGTCCATGTCTCTTTGAGGCAGGTCACTTCGGGCTTGTCTGTTGAGTTTTAGGGTTTGCTTCTCCATTTTATATTGTGTCCAGTCCCAGTCCTACATCCTGGCCTTCCCAGTTTTTCTTCTTTCTACGGTTTGGACTGTTTTTGCTGATCCCTGGCTTTGCCAGACGTTTGGGCATTCAGACATACTCTATGCATTGGCGTTTTAATTTTATTTTGCCATTTGCGGCGGCGTTTCCTGACTGCAAGGCTTCGTGGTGTTTGCCTTCAGTTGGGCTGGTTGAGAAGGGGGGTTCCTACCTCTCTCTCCAGGCCTGACTGTTGCTCCGGGTGCTGGTGCAGCTGGAGTCTTAATCTTCCGGCTCTTTAGTGCCAGCCCTACTTGATTCAGGCGCTGCTTGCGTCTAACATTGGTGTCTAACATCGTGGATTTTTTTGAGGCTCCGCTTCTTTCCGAGGGTTGGCCACTGGTTCGGCCTTCTCTTCTGCTCTTCGCATATGATGGGTCGACATGTGTGGATCACCCTCTCTGTGGTGATCAGGTGGCTTGTTAAAAGGTGTCACACCTGCAGTTCTCCTTGTGACAGTATGGATCCTTGGCAGCTTTTTGCCATTTTCTATTACTTTGTCATTGTTCTTCGGTTCCAGTGGGTTTTGTCCTTTGTGGCTGTTTCTTGGTCTGCGACTTTTGCCGACTGCTTTCGCCGCCTCATGTGGCGGAGCCACTCCTGCCTGCATTCAAGGTTACAATGTCTTTAGCCCCATTTCACATATTTCTCATGCAAATGAGAAATATGTGAAATATAATACACTCGTGCCGTTTCACCTCCAGCCTGCTCATGCACCTCCTGAACCTACCTGTTCTATGGCCAAGTTCTTTTGTTTCTCTTTTGCTCATATTCAGGTGGCCCCTGTTTGGTTCAGTTTGGTCTGTTGGTTCAGGTGGTCTGTTTTTCACCTGTGTTTTTTGTTCTAGTTCCTGGTGGGCATCTGGTGGTTTTGCTGGCAACATGTGGGTCGGCAGTCTTCCCGAGGGATTCTTTGGTCATGGTTGTTTGGTTCCTTCAGCCAGGGGTGCATCATGCACCTTGACAGGGGGAGGCTGTTCGCTGCTGCCTTTGTGCCACTGTATCTGTCTTGGTGGCCTCGTTGTGGGTTCTCTGGTTTTGTTCCAGGGCTAATGCTTCTCGGGGTCATCCACAGTGTCGTTCAGTCTTTCCAGCCTGTGGTCTATCTTCGTGCCCATCCTGTACATCATTCTTCGTCTTGCCAGCTGTGTTTGTGCTTCCGTCTAAGGTCAGTATTCGGGATGTGGGGGTGGGGGGCTTACCTTACCTTGAGGTTACTTTGAGATGGTTTCGAAGCTTAGAGTTCCTGCAGCCCAGTCGTTCTCGGCGAGGCCTCTTTGTTGCTAGACTGGTTAACCAGGCTGTTGGACGCAGCTGCTCGCAGCCTGATGTATGAGTCACAGCCTGGTTAATCAGGTATCCATTGGAGGTGGTTATCAAGTTCTCTCTTGAACACTGTGAGGGGTTGGCTGGTTATGTCCCTTATGTGTAGTGGAAGCGTGTTGAACAGTCTCGGGCCTCTGATGTAGATAGAGTTCTATGAATACCTATTGCACCTCTGGTTTTCAACAGGGGTATTCTGCACATCATATGGGGGTGTTCTGCACATCATATGGGGGTATTCTGCACACCCTTGTTTTTCTTGGTTTATCCACATCGTCATTAGGTTTGTTGGTAGTCGGGCAGGATCTTGGCGGCATGGTATTTTGTGTATTGTTCCTTCCTCATATGGATACTTGTGGTGCTGCCTCCTCCCTGGTTGGTGCTTTTTTTTTTTTTTTTTTTTTTTTCCCTCTCTCCCCCATCCTTCACTATAGGTAGTTAGCTTCAGGGAGCCGATGGGGCTTTCCCCAGAAAACCAGCATTGACTAATGAAACTGCAATTTCTGGGTGAGCCCCGGAGGCTCCGTGACAACTTCCCTTTCCCAGGGCATTGGTGCGTTTATCATCTTCAAACTGAGATTACCTGGTTGATACCTGGTTGATGGGGTTCTGGGAGTTCTTCTACTCCCCAAGCCCGGCCCGAGGCCAGGCTCGACTTGTGAGAGTTTGGTCCACCAGGCTATTGCTTGGAGCGGCCCGCAGGGCCACGTACCCACCACAGCCCGGCTGATCCGGAACTTCTCTTAGAAAACCGTCCAGTTTTCTCTTGAAATGTCCACGGTTGTTCCGGCAATATTTCTTATAGTCGCTGGGAGGACGTTGAACAACTGCGGACCTTTGATGTTTATACAGTGTTCTCTGATTGTGCCTATGGCACCTCTGCTCTTCACTGGTTCAATCTTGCATTTTCTTCCATATCGTTCACTCCAGTACGTTGTTATTTTACTGTGTAGATTTGGGACCTGACCCTCCAGTATTTTCCATGTGTATATTATTTGGTATCTCTCTCATCTCCTTTCTAGAGAGTACATTTGGAGAGCTTTGAGACGATCTCAATAATTTAGGTGTTTTATCTCGTCTATGCGTGCCGTATATGTTCTCTGTATTCCCTCTATTTCAGCAATCTCTCCTGCTCTGAAGGGGGAAGTGAGTACTGAGCAGTACTTGAGATGGGACAACACAAGTGACTTGAAGAGTACAACCATTGTGATGGGATCCCTGGATTTGAAAGTTCTCGTAATCCATTCGATCATTTTTCTGGCTGACACGATATTTGCTTGGTTATGCTCCCTAAACGTTAGATCGTCGGACATCATTATTCCCAAATCCTTGACATGCTGTTTTTCTACTATGGGAAGATTCGATTGTGTTTTGTACCCTGTATTATGTTTCAGATCCTCATTTTTGCCGTACCTGAGTACCTGAAATTTATCACTGTTAAACATCATGTTATTTTCTGCTGCCCAATCGAAAACTTTGTTGACATCTGCTTGTAGTTTTCCAATGTCTTCAGCAGAGGTAATTTTCATGCTGATTTTTGTGTCATCTGCAAAGGACGACACGAAGCTGTGGCGTGTATTTTTGTCTATATCAGATATGAGAATAAGGAACAGTAGCGGTGCAAGGACTGTACCTTGAGGTACAGAGCTTTTAACATCGCTTGGACTCGATTTTATCTGATTGACTGTTACTCTTTGTGTTCTGTTCGACAGGAAATTGAGTATCCAGCGTCCTACTTTTCCAGTTATTCCCATTGACCTCATTTTGTGAGCTATCACCCCATGGTCAGATTGTTGTGAGCCGGCTGATCCGGTATGCCTCCCTCCTCCCCCTAAACAAGGGTGGTGGTGGGGCGTACTAGCTGGCACTAGTTTCCTAAAAATTTGGATTTTGTTTTTGTTGGGGGGAGTTCACTTGCAAGTTTAGAGGCTGTGGACTCTTTTTAAACTATGTGGTAGTTTTTGGTTCGCCAATCTTTCTGCGGCCTTTCCTGGTGGTGGCAAGTATGATCAATCTTTAAATGTAAAGTTTTCATAGGCTATCACTCCCTACGCCTCTTCTGAGGAGGCCAGGTTCTGGCTCGTGGTCCCCAGTAGGCCAATAAAACTTTGCGACTGATGGCACCTCATAGTATGATACTGATCAGTGTATGATAGCTTCAGGGAGCTTTTTAATTACCACTTTCTTGTTCCAATGACGCTAAAATGCATCAGCCTATTGTTACTCGCAAAACATGTTTATCATTGTTGCACATAATCGATTATAATTTTTTCCATCTATTCTCTCGAGTATTATTTTGCAAAACATTTTGACACCACATAGCCCATCCCAAACAAATAAATATGAACATTTGTGATGCATTTTAATGTCATTGGAATGAGAAAGTGTTAATTAACACCTCACACTACATCTAAGGAGGCCACAAGTCACCCCAATATGAGGCAAATAAAAAAAATATGGTGATATAAAAGTTTCAGAAAAATAACCAAATGGTAATAATATATTTACAAAATATTCCGTAAGGTCTGATTGTAATGTTTGGAGTATAACATATATATATAGTGGAACCTCGAGTGACGAGCAACTCCAGTTACGTGCATTTCGAGTAACGAAGAAGCCACTCGCAGAAAATTTGTCTCGACTGACGAGCTTTCACTCGATTAAAGAGCATTCCCGCTGGTTCTCAGACACCTCCAACGATAGTGTTGTTGTCTCGCAAGACATGTTTTCCACATGACGAGCTCGGTGCCGGAATGGATTAAATTCGTTAATCGAGGCGCCACTGTATTTCTATAGGGGCCACTTGGTGGCTCCCAGCTTACTAGCTGCGGAGGGTAGCTTCATGCCGATAGTCACACCAGATCCTTGTTAGTCAATAACAAGTCTACTAAAGACCAGCTTAACCTGGTCCCCTCAAGAGGGAAAAGAGAGCAGTGGATCTATGGATCACCATCAACAATGAACCAACTCCCAGAAAGGTAGAGCAAATTAAAACGGACAGCTGTAAGGCAAATGAGAAAATTGCTGTAGCAGAGGAGATTGAACCAGTGAATGTCTTGGTGAATGCCAGATGCACACCATACCCGAGCCACAGCTTGCTAAAAAGCTGTCCAACCCAGGACACTACTATGGTATGGCACATGTCGGGCATTCACCAAGATGCTGGTTCAATCCCTACTCTGATCCAGTGATTTTCTCATTGATACTACACTATTAATATTGTGGTTTCCTTGTGTATTTGAAGAGATCAAAATAGTGGAGAACATCATACCTACACAAGAGTGCAGACGAGGAGTCACAATAACGTGGCTGAAATATGTTGACCAGACCACACACTAGAAAGTGAAGGGATGACAACGTTTCGGTCCGTCCTGGACCATTCTCAAGTCGATTTTAGCAAGCTGTGGCTCGGGTATGGTGTGCATCTGGCATGGACCAGGTTAATTGACTAGCAAGGGTCTCGTGTGACTATAGGCATGAAGCTACCCTCCGCAGCTAGTAACACTCGCAGCCATTCTCACAATCGACTTCAGAACGAATGATTCAGAGCGAACCGAAACGTCGTCGTCCCTTCACTTTCTAGTGTGTGGTTTGGTCTACACAAAAGTGCATATGGGCTATTCATAAAAACTGTTTGTGATTAGTTTTATCACTACAGAATTCTTAGAGGATACAGTATTGTCACAGGTTGAATAACATTTCAGCATGTGGCGCGGTTATGGCTCACGTCTGGCAATTACCGAGATGCTGGTAGGTGATGCTAAATCACCCTGTTCTACTTCAGTGATTTTCTCACTGAAGTATAATTTTTGTAGCGATCGTTGATCCCCAGGTGTCTCGTTCACCTGTCTGTGAGGGAGATTCTGGACCCGATTCCCAGTAGGTATTCGTGGGTCATAGTAATGTTATATTCTCAGTGTTGGTTGCCTTCAGGATGTAGCTTGGGAAGCTACAGTGGCTCATCAGAAAGAGACATTTCATTACATTATTTTTCCATGGTGTGTGGGGCGTACTGGTTGGCATTACAATGCAAATCTTTCTCTTGGGGTTTAGCTTTCAATGTTATTTAGTTTCGTGTTTCTTGAACGTGCTCATTGACTGTTCATGCTGCCATTTGATCTCTTGCAGAAGGGAGATGGACAGGGTCTTCATTCTGTGTGTGTGACATTCAGCATCCACAAATGCATCTTTTCTCCATAGGAATTGGCTTTTTTTGGTGTGTGTGGCTTCATTTTTCTGTCGAGAGGCTATTGGAAAGTTTTCATTTGGCCAGAAATTAGTGGAATTTGCTTGTCCTCTTTGATTTAAGTACAGAACTTATCCCTGAATAGGAACTCGATACAGAAACAAGGTGAAAGGGAAGAGGGAAATGGGAGATGTAAGATTGAAGTAGAAAGGTGAAATATGTTGTTGGAAGTTGTTACTGTGGGAGTGGGAAGTAAGTATATGTAGATGGATAGATAAATTTATTGTTCAAATTATTTTAATATATTAAAAGTATTAAAAGGTCATGCTGAAGTTTACTTTTATTTTAGGAAATATAAATTCCATACACAGTATTAAATATTAATATTGATTGAAAATGATAAAAACTACAATAAAAATGTGTAGAGGAAAACCAAATTGAGGGTAAGGCTTTTATTTCTCTATACCATTATCAGCTTTTTCCTCAATTCAATTAATAATTGTTTTAAGATGCAGAACTGGCACGCATGTATATTTTGCAGCTGGCTCGTACGCAGGCCATGCGTATAGAGCGTCATCGTCAGTGGCTTGCAGGAGAGCGTTCCAGTGAAGACCACTATCAAACACCTACTCCTAGGATTGATGCTTATTAGTCTTCAAAATTTTTCCTTTCACCCATATTTTTTTTTTTTTTGGTAGAACTTTACAGCTCTCATACCTTTGATCAAAGATTTAAATGGATTATAATGGTGTGACTTTTGGACTTGTAAATAAAATTCAACATACTGTATATTGATCTTGTATAATTTGTATCCATACCTCTTAATTAATTTTTCTTAAGTACTTTATACAGAAAAATAAATAATAATTATCTATTTTTCAACATGTTACTCCCTTGGCAGCTACCGTGTCATAGTAGTGGGGCTTAATTAAGGGATTTAAGCCTGGCAGGTTTTGTTGGTATGTTCCTTTGGCCAGCACCTGGGGGAGAAGCAGGACTAAAGTTGTCTATGGTTTGTCACTGGCCAATCTCCCACGGTGTTCAAAAGAAAATTTGATGAACACCTCCAAAGCATACCTGATCAACTATGATGTTCATATGTCACACTGCAAGCAGCTGTGTCCAGCAGTGTAGTTGACTAGATCACACCGTTGGACAACTAGGAGACCCTCTTGATCCTCGAAACTAATGCAAGGTAAGGTATTTTTGATGGGTGGTTGTTTTGATGCGAGGTACTTCTGATGTGAGGTACAGTGAGGCGTGAGGACTATTATGTTGTGAGGAAAGAGAGAGAAGGAAGAGGTGGTGGTGGTGTAGCTCTGCTGGTAAGAAAAGGCTGGGATTTTGAGATGGTTATTCAGGGCTGTGAAGGTTTCAGTGACTACATAACAGGTACCATAACAACTGGAGGACAAAAAATTATAGGACAACAAATTATAGTTGTAGTCGTATAATCCACCACCAAATGACAGAAGGCCCAGACAGGAATATGATAGGAACAACATGGCCACCATCAACATAATAGAGAGAGCAGCTTCTGTTGCTAGCAGGAATGGATCTGGATTACCAATCATGGAAGACTTCACCCACAGGAAGATAGATTGGGAGAACAGAGACCCACATGGAGGACAAGACACATGGAGAGCTAAGCTGCTGGACGTGGCAACAAGAAACTTTCTAAGCCAGCACATAAAGGAACCAACAAGAATGAGATGAGATGATGAACCAGTCATGCTCGATCTGATATTTACCCTAAATGAGTGGGATATAAGGGAAGTTAAGATGGAAGCACCCTTGGGAATGAGTGATCACAGTGTATTGATCTTTGAGGACCTGGTAAAGTTAGGAATTATCTCCCCCAAAAAAGAACTAGGAAACAAAAGGCTGGCATAGCGAAAGGGGAATTATGAGATGAGAAGTTTCCTAAGAGAAATACCTTGGGACACAGACCTCAGAGCTAAGTCTGTACAAGATATGATGGACTATGTTACCCAAAAGTGTCAGGAGACAGTAAACAGGTTTATCCCGGCCCAAAAGAAAAAATCCAAGAAGCAAAAGAATCCATGGTATAATAGGGCATGTATGGAAGCAAAGGAACTGAACAAAAGGGCATGGATGAACTACAGGAATAACAGAACACCAGAAAGCAGAGAGAGAGAGATGCCAGAGAACCAGGAATGAGTATGTTAAGAGTGAGAAGAGAAGCAGAGAAAAATTATGAAAATGATATAGCAAACAAAGCCAAGACTGAACCAAAGCTACAGTCACATCAGGAGGAAAACAACGGTGAAGGAACAGGTAATGAAACTTAGAATAGGCGAGGACAGGTTTACAGAGAATGACAGAGGTGTGTGAAGAACTTGACAAGAGGTTCCAGGAGGTCTTCATAATAGAACAAGGCGAGGTCACTGCGCTAGGAGAGGGGGAAGTATACCAGGCGGCCTTGGAAGGGTTCGAAATTACGAGAGATGAGGTCAAGAGACACCTGCTGAATCTGGATGTTAGAAAGGCTGTTGGTCCAGACGGGATCTCACCACGAGTACTGAAAGAGTGTGCAGAGGCACTTTGCTTGCCACTCTCCATGGGAGACCTACCAGAAATATGGAAGATGGCAAATGTGGTCCCAATATACAAAAAGGGTGACAGGCAAGAGGCACTGAACTACAGGCCAGTGTCCTTTACTTGTGTACCATGCAAGGTGATGGAGAAGATCGAGAGAAAAAACCTAGTAACACATCTGTAGAGAAGGGACTTCGTGACAAATTGCCAACATGGGTTCAGGGAGGGTAAATCTTGCCTAACAGGCTTAATAGAATTCTACGACCAGGTGACAAAGATTGAGCAAGAAAGAGAAGGCTGAGTGGACTGCATTTTCTTGGATTGTCGTAAAGCCTTTGACACAGTACCGCATAAGAGGCTGGTACATAAGCTGGAGACAGGCAGGAGTAGCTGGTAAGGTGCTCCAGTGGATAAGGGAGTACCTGAGCAATAGGAAGCAGTTACGGTGAAGGGTGAGACCTCAGATTGGCGTAAAGTCACCAGTGGAGTCCCACAGGGCTCTACTCGGTCCTATCCTGTTTCTGATGTATGTAAATGATCTCTAGGAGGGTATAGACTCATTTCTCACAATGTTTCCTGACAATGCCAAAATTATGAGAAGGATTAAGACAGGAGGAATGCTTGAGGCTTCAAGAAGACCTAAACAAGCTGCAGGAATGGTCGAACAAATGGTTGTTAGGGTCTAACCCAAGCAACTGTAATGTAATAAAGATAGGTGTAGGGAGCAGGAGGCCATATACAAGGTATCATCTAGGAGATGAAATTCAAGAGTCAGAGAGAAAAAGACTTTATATCACGCCAGACCTGTCCCCTGCAGCCCATATCAAGAGGATAACATCAGCAGCATATGCCAGGCTCCAGGCTGGCCAACATAAGAACGGCATTTAGAAACTTGTGTAAGGAATCATTCAGAACTTTGTATACCACATATGTTAGGCCAATCCTGGAGTATGCAGCCCTAGCATGGAGTTCATATCTAGTCAAGGATAAGACTAAATTGGAAAAGGTTCAAAGGTTTGCCACCAGACTAATACCCGAGCTGAGAAGTATGGGCAACGAGGAGAGACTACGGGAATTAAACCTCACGTCGCTGGAAGACAGAAGAGTTGGGGGGGACATGATTCACATTCAAGATTCTCAAGGGTAGACCAGGGTAGATAGGGTAGACCAAGACAGGCTATTTAACACAAGGAGCGCACACACTAGGGGACACAGGTGGAAACCGAGTGCCCAAATGAGCCACACAGATATTAGAAGGAACTTTTTTAGTGTCAGTGGTTGACAAATGGAATGCATTAGGAAGTGATGTGGTGGAGGCTGACTCCATACACAGTTTCAAGTGTAGATACGATAGAGCCCAGTAGGCTCAGGAATCTGTACACCTGTTGATTGACGGTTGAGAGGCGGAACCAAAGACTCGGAGCTCAACCCTCGCAAGCACAAATAGGCGAGTACAGTATATTTGATGTGGGGGTACTTTTAATGCGAGGTACTCAGTTCAGTTGCTAGACCACTATGACATGGCCTTAGATGCTATGGAAGACCAGCAAAACACAGATGTACACAAATTTCAAAAAAGCCTTTGACAAATAAATGTGACCAATGGTGTCATTGCACACAAGAAATTACTGGCAAAGTAGGGAGATGGATCTTAACATTTCTAATGAACTTTTACCTTCCTAGAGAGTAAGTCAACAAAGTAAAACCCTGATCATCCACCATGAAAAGCAGTCCTTCCCAATTATTCATTCACAGGTATTAGTGACCAGGACTGTGGTTATAATGAACATTGTGCGTAGGAAGGAGGAATTTTGGTGAGGGAGGGAGGGAGGAAGAGAATTGAGGTAGCCTCACTTGTGTGGCAGTAACTCTTGTTTTGCTCACCGTACTAGCTTCGTGGTTCGCTATAGGGAACACACATGTACATGGGTATATACAGTGAGTGTGAATAGTGTAATAACAGCACCAGGAGTATGTTGTGAGGCGCTATTTTGGTGAGGGAGGTGACGTCGTAATCGTGGCTCAAGTTCAAGTATGTTTATTGAGACAAGAAAGAAATACATCTCAAAGGGATAGAGTAGCTTAGGTTATTTCTACGTCTGTGGTGTCGTCTGCTGTGTGATTTGTCATGCAGTATAGGTGGTCATTGTACTGTTTGGACACAATACCGGCTTACTTACATAGTTCTGGTAAATAAAACATGTAGATAGGTATATATAACATGTGTAAATCGTGTAATAAATACAATAACAGTACGGTGGGAGGAGCAATGTTGGAGTGAGGGAGGGCTGGCTAGTTGTGGCTGCTCACACTCACGGTGTTCCGAGTGTTGATGGTGAATGTATATAGTGTGTGACAGTGTATAGTCTGTAAATAGATTGTATATATACATAAATTAGCATGATACATGGTAAATATGTGCAACATATGTGTACACAAGTGTCATGCACGTAACACAGTATCCTCAGACAGTACGGATGTTTTACTGCCATAATATAGTGCACGTGTTCATTATACATAGGATTAGCACGTAAAAACAAATAAATGTATTTGGAGCTGTGCGCAAAAACTGAACAAAAATATATTCGCGGCAACTCGCCGGCCCCGGGAGCTTGCTTACTGCACGGGCGAACGGGGAATGATGACGTCACGCGCCAACTTACGGACCCTATAGCAGCCAAAGTAAGTACAAGTTCAAATTTTTTTTTGACATACCCATATTGGGGGAAAGGTGTTTGACACTTTAAAAAAACAAAATTATTTTTTCAAGATAATTTATTTCCTGCGCACTGGGGGGTGTCATATTTATAAGCCGCGCAGTTAAAGGGTTAATAATAAACCACTATACAGTAATTATAAAGGTCTAACAAATATCTAGATATGCTCTGTTACAGTATAAAAATTCAGCCATACTAAACAATGATGAAAATTCAGCACTTTTTGCTTTCATTAAGAGATGCAAGTATGTATATAAGAGTCATCGTGTGGGGGCAACATTGTAACTCCTACACCGGTGTTATAAATTATCACAATAGTCTCTCCTTCCCCGTCTTAGTCCTCATCATTGTCATATGTTGCCTTTGGATCCAGGTCAAGTCTTGTTTTCTTTTTAGCAGGGCCTGAAACAAAAGACAACTGTTTAAACAGTTTCTCACTAAAGTTTACGGTAAAATTGACAATGAAAAATTTCCAGCAGAGAATGAAATTCCAGTCAGAACAGTTTCAAATTGTGCACATCATAAATATAGTACAGTACTGTACATGAAATTATGTATGGAAATCAATAAATGCTTGAAGATTTTGTATGCTAACTCTGATGTGCAATGTGTGGAAAAGTAACACAAAATGTACCTGTTTACAATCTGCATTAATGCATTAAATTACCTGCAGCAAGAAAGTGCTCTGCTGTCTTTTTCCGTAGTTCCTCAACCGACTCGTCGTCTTTAGCCCATTCTAGTACCAGCCGGCGGTCATACAAGTGAGTGCTGAACCCAAGGGCCTCAAAGGCTTTCTGAGGGGAAGAAAAAATACTATTGCAATAAACCCCTTTTCAGTTTGCATTGTTTTGAAGAATTAAAATAACATATTTGAAAGTCTGGAAACACAGTATATTAAGGTGGAGATTTTCAATCTTTTTTTTTTCAAGTTGTGGCATACTGAACAAGGTGCTGAAATTTTTAAGATAACATAATTTTTTAGAGAGACTATATATGCAGTATGTATATATTAAATATATATATATATGCTGTGTATATAATTTAAAAAGTATTAAGATTGTGTTTAAAGTTTTCTTAGAGCAAAGTGTGAACATAAGCAGTAAATTATCTTTTTTTCTTTTTTATATACTAAGCAATATTTCATGTAAAACCTTATCTTTTTGCATTAAGAATTATGGTCATAAGTTATTGACTGATTTCCTGATGTAGTGGCGGTATAAACCTTGACTATTTAAATTTCTTCACATATACAATGCCAGTACTTGACAGTATTAGCTTCTAATTCTTTTGTCTTATGTTACATGTACAGTTATAAAGATTTAGTGTATATTTACCTTGGCATCCTCTTTTGAAATGTAATCAACAAACCCAAACCCTCTGTGCTCGGAGCTTCCTGGTTTACTTGGCAAACGGACAGATTTAAGTTCGCCAAACGTCCTGTTCAGAAGTTTGGTTTAATTAGGTACTACATGCTGAGAGGGTGACCCAGATACTCTAAACATACAGTATCAACTGATGTGGTCATAAAGATATAGACATTTACAGTACTTGAATTGGCTTTAAATATAAAAAAAAGAGATGCAAGGACTTGAAGTTGGTACCAACTTCCAGTACTTCACATTTTGCTTGACTCGAATCTCGAGCAATATACAAAGTGTTAAACCAAAACAGGGATTGAACGGCACTACTTAGAAAAACAGCTTTCATTTACCGTTAAAGATTTGACATACAGTACTGTACATATATTAGAATTAATCGGGTTGCTCCCTTAGACAAAAGTATCTTGGAAGACAATTACTTATGAAAAGGAATGTACTTATGTGCTGCAGTGTTAGCAGACATGGCCTAAGGGTAAGAATAGACCTGCCTCCATAGTGATCCAGAACCCTGCATGAGGGGGATGAACACTGGAGACACTCGCCTAAGTGTTGTACACTGATGGCACAGGTGGTGAATCTTGGGGAGTACTGCGAAACAAATGTCTGTTCGACCTCTAAAAGCCCCAAGTCCAGAGTAAGCACAGGACATCATGGTAAAGAATGCTTTGTAGGTAGCAAAGTTCTGCTGGTCATGGGTATGGGAAATAGACAATGGCTGAATATCAATATTTACCCAATTTGTGAAGAAACCGAGACAACTACACTATAGTATGGAGATTGAGGGAGATAGACTTGGATGAAGGGTGATAAAAATACATACATACTGGCACAAAAATCTTACAAAGCAAATAAGACAGGGAGCCGGTCGGCCGAGCAGACAGCACACTGGACTTGTGATCCTGTGGTCCCAGGTTCGATCCCGGGCGCCGGCGAGAAACAATGGGCAGAGTTTCTTTTACCCTATGCCCCTGTTACCTAGCAGTAAAATAGGTACCTGGGTGTTAGTCAGCTGTCACAGGCTGCTTCCTGGGGGTGGAGGCCTGGTCGAGGACCGGGTCGCGGGGACACTAAAGCCCCGAAATCATCTCAAAATAACCTCAAGACAAAGCTAAACGAACCAGACACATGCCAAGATAAAGGCATGCCCTTACAGGACGGCTGTCTCATTCTTGGTCAAAAAAATGTAAGCCCATTTTAAAACACCAGGAAAGTTCCAAATGTACATTGAAGAGTATTTATTAGAAGTCAAACATCAAATGTAATGAAATGCCCTTTTCCAGGCAGACTCTGTAGCGCTGGTGCACCTCAGACAGCCAACTACCAAGGGTCTGGATCTGTGCACCTGTACTGAGCTTCAGGACCAGAATCTGGTGCGCTCACAGAAGCGAGAGGTTCATGGGGTACTAAGCTCAACCTCATAAGTGGGATAAAACTGCCAAACACAACCAAGTGAAGCAAAGCACACTACATACTTATCTTGATGAAAGAAAGAAAAAACGGAAATAGTAGTTTGTCTGAGGTCAACAAACCACTGCATCCACAGGATGCCAGCCAAAGTCATGCAAGGGTTTCACCTGCTCATTCATAATCACCCCCTGAACTCCTCAGGAAAGGAGGACCAAAAAGGAGAAGAAAAAAGTGTATGGTGGGCTCCCCCCCCTTCCCCGGGGGTGGAAGGAGGTCGCGCTAACGAGCAGAAGTGCTAGTCGCATGAAGGGTTACTTGTTTGCTTTCTTTCTAGAGGAGGTATTTTGATCCTTTGGGATATAGATTGCACAGATTAACCAGGCAGTGGTCTGTTTTGATTTGCCTACCTTTCTGGGTCCTTTCCTGGTCGACGGCAATTATGACATACAGTATTTTAAGTGTAAAGTGCTCTTAGGCCATTGCTCTGTGTGCCTCTCTGAGAGGCTCAAGTTCTGGCTCATGGTTCCTGGTAGGTATAAGGACTCCTGTGACTGATGACCCCAAACTAATATAGCACATATCATTTTGGGTAGCTTCAGGGAGTCGACAGGGCTCCCCACAGAAAAAAAAAGGCAAGGGGACATCAGTGGAAGCCGGATATACAACAGAGTCGAAGAGATGTAAGGAAGCTCTCGTTGCCTGTACAGGTTGTTAGCAAGTGGAATCCATTGAAAGACGAGATTAATGAAGTCAATTCCATTCACAACTTTATAAAGAAACCATTAATGTTGAGAAAGGCACAAGGAGTTAATATACTGTAGTATGCATTAGCAGCTAGGTGGTGGACATTGAGTTAGATCTCGCTCCCCTGTAACCATTGGTAGGTAAGCACATTATCTAGAAAGGCAAAAGTAAGGACATAATTGAAGTACTGCAAATAGATGAATAATAATAGTGTTAGATATATTAACACAAAATAATGGATGGTACAAACTAGATAAGTTTTTAGATACAGAAAGACCTAGGTAAATACAGGATTAGAATTAATCAAACTAAAGCTTTTCACAAAACTCACGCAAACAATTGTCGGACTTCCTTATGTGTTGCTTGGAAAGGAATATTTTTCACCATTATTTTTGAAGATGTCTGCTCCCTTTTGTCATGCATTCTTCTTGTACTTTTCAACTCGGTTCTGTGAGAGATAAAATACTATTGAATTGAAGGATGCATGTAATTTAAGCTATTTTGCAATACAGTAATAGTTTGCTCTTAATTTAAGAGGTTAGTACTTTATTAATTATGTCATTTCTTCGTAATACTTAATAATTTAAGAGGTTATTATTGTGAAGCAACGTCAGCATTGTAAAGAATATTATGACATGATATATTCATGCCAATACTATATTTGTAAAGTTAATTATCAGTAGATAAATATAGGCAAACATTACTGAAAGCTTTATAATACTGTGTACAAAAGTCTCCAATAGCCAAATTGTGCTTTTCAAGTTGTTGGCTGCTCAACCCTCCCCCCCTCCCCCCAAAAAATCTCAAATGGCTACATACTGTATTTGCACTCAGTGTGTTTATTTTCTGGTCAGAAGTAACTTTTGTAATATTGTCACCACACAAGTTCAAACTGGTATCAGTAAATTTTAAGCAATTTAGTTTGGTACACTACAGTATACTATGAACTCTCGCCTATAGGCACTATACCAACAGTTTAGACGTTATGAGTGCATGTGTTGTTTTAAGGACCAATATACATAAAGTTGGAGTAAGTCATTTGCCATGAATCCACAATAAGATTACAGAAGCGGCGATAAATCACATTTTTAAATCGCCAAAAAATTTCAAAATACTCACACCAGCGTCTTTTCTGACAATTTAACTTGCAGTGTGTGATCTTCAAGAGGTGTGTCATTCAAGTTTCTAAGAGCCTTTTGTGCATCTGTTCTTCTCAAGAACTGAACAAACCCATAACCCTGAGAAAGTCCACGACGCTTGGCTATCAACACTGAGTGAACAGGACCAACTCTCTGAAAATGCTATAAGATAAAAAGGTTATATTAAGAGAACTGAATATATACTGTACACAAAATTATCATCAGTGATATTTTTTCAGTTACTATAGATTTTACTAGCAGGCATCTATGTTTTCAATGGAGTTTTCTACTCTCTCCATTCATATACTTTAGTACTAGAGCACTATATCAATGGCGTATAGCACTCTTCTAAATAAGGAGGCCGGCCCATTAGTTATGCTCTTGTTAGAAATTAGGTCAAGCTACAAATACTTGTTTGTGGTAAATGATCCAATAACTGTTAGTCAAGGTCAGCATTTAACTTGCATGAAGACTAAATTATCATACATCCCAATATTATCAGTTCTTATGCAGTCATTTATATCTGATCTATATAAGTTTGTGTTTACATACGACTCTGGTAGCATTGTGGTCATAATATATCTATCAAGGTACTCTTGATTGAATAATTTGGAATTAAATAGATCAGTTTTGGAATCGTTTAGCTATTTTGGTGTTCATTTTGTGTGAAACGTGCCGTTGTTTATATTGCTTCACATACTTTCTGGCTGCTTTCTCAGTGCTGGCAATGGTAACAATCCCCTGTGCCTCTGTGAGGGGATGACTGGGGGTTAGATTCTGGCTCTGGTTCCTGATAGGCCAAATAGGACTCCTATGGCTGATGTGACTCAGTAGGGGAAAGCTACCTTTATGATATACTTACAGGGAGCCAACAGAAGCTCCTCCAGAAAATTGTAATATCAATCATACAAAACAGATACACCTATAATAAGTTTTATGTACCTGTTTAAGTACTTCTTCAGTAGTTGCGAAGTTAATGTTTTTAACGTAAACAGTGGTACTTGGCTCAGGGTTAGGCAGGTCACCTGTGGTTTCTTGGTCCTTCTCTTCTGCTTTTTCTGCAAATACACAAGGAAATGTAAGAACAATAAAAACTTAAAATATTATAAATCCCACTTTGACTGTAATGAATGGTTTTCTTCTGGCAAAGACCTCATTAGCACTCATAACACTTTCGCGCTTTAGATTAGAGATAACTCGTTGCTGTTTTTTCTTACGATTCCGCATAACAGCCTACTTTTCTCGTCCATCGAAAAAAAATTTCTATAAATTCCATTTTTTAACCGAAATGGATGGGGATACTTTTGTTTTGTAGAGAATTTATTTGCGAATTTTTTGGTACAAGAATGAATATTATATCACATAAACTTCTATGAGTAAAAAAAAAAAAATACACAAAGTATGTTTGGGGGTGTGGCGAGCGTGTGGCAGTGGGTTCCCTTTAGCCGTTGATATATCCAACACGTGGGAAATATTTGTATGTGTTATGTATATGTCTGTGTAGGGAATTTTACTGCGATCACTGTCATACAAATTATAAAATGTTTCAACAAGTATAAACATGACAAACATCAAACGAACGAAAACAATGCGTTCGTTTCTGCCGCCAACGCATACTGAGCAACGTGGTTCTATATTTGGCGCTTCTCTTACACATGCTTTGTACAAATGTTATACAGTTCATCTTATAGAAAATTTTATTGCGAACACATTGGTATAAAAAAGAAATACGTACATAGAAAAGTAGGGTCAGGAAACGTATAAACTTTCCAAGCATGATTTTTTCCCTGTGTTTTCGCCAGTGCACTCGCGGCTAACTACTCTCCACTTCACACACTCTTGCGGGTGGGCAATTACCTATATTAAACATTCATATGCATATGTCCGTGTAGAGAATTTTATTGTGATTCCAATGATACCAAAATTAGCGATGTAGGACAACTGTAGGCTTCGCAACCATTAAGAGAGTGGAAACATTTTGTTGCTGTTTGGCGCTCTCGGCGAGTGATCTGCATAGTTTTTTATTTGGTGTTGATACTCCTTATGCTTGGGCGGCATTTTATAGGTATGCTCTTATAGACAATTTCATTGCGAACACAGTGATACCAAATTTAAATACGTGCGCCTTCAATTATTGTCAGGACAGTCAAAAGAGTGTACACTTTTTCGGTCTTACCGCGTAGGCGCGCGAAGTGCCGAAAGCATCTGGGGTATTTTTTTTTTTTTGAGCGCCGAGAGCGCGAAAGTGTTAATGCTTTGATAACATCCAAGCTTTACCAACCACACCAGGTCTTTAGCAAATCCTGATCACCCACCAGAGGCCAGAACCAGAATCTGGCTCGCTCGCTCGCTCAAAGAACTGTGCTCAAAGAGGACAGTTCTCTGATTTGGAATACAATCTTAGGGATGGCCAACACCACTTATCTGAACAGAAAACTGAGGGGCCCAGTAGTGCAGTGTGGCTAAGAATGCAACAGGCATGAGACAGTTGTTTGGCTGGCCAGGGCACCAAATTGCTGAGGCTGCCATTTTATGGTGAACTGGTGTATCTAAGCGGTGTCCTTGTTCTGGTAACAAGTGTTAACATAGCATCAACAATACAAATGTTTCCATGCTTGTTTATCTTTATCTTTTCTGGTGGTTAATTCACTAAGTACTGTGATGATCCTAGTTCACCCAGCTTCCCTTAGCCCCTCTCAGAGAGCCATATTCTGGTCTCGGCTTCTGTTAACTGTGCAGGATTTGCTAGAGGTCTAGTTTGGCTTTTAAGGCTTGGATGTTACCATACCCGAAGAGGCTTGTGGGAGTTCTTCTACTCCCCGATCCTGGCCTGAGGTCAGGCTCGACTACCAAGGTTGTAGCATTGAGGAGCTACCATGGAAGATCTCCCAGAAATCAAGTGTTGAATGAAATGTTCTTTTATGATAGGTTGGTGTTATGGTACTTACAGTTCACCTTAACACCACTCTACCCTCTTTGAGAGCATACTCATTTTTAACCAGCACATATGATTGCCAGAGAAAATTTAATTTCATTTACAATGTACAGTATACTTTTGAGTATTTTGGAATTCTTGTATTTCACTGGAATATTTTTCAAAACAGTATAGTGCTTGGCATAGCTACGATGTCATGAGATGCAACAATGCTTTTCACATCACATGACCTAGGAGGACCAATGGGAGATGACATGAAAGGTCACGACAGTAGATTTGGCCTAGGATTGGTCAGCAGCCATTACTCGCTGCCCAGATGTTATGAAAAGAGGATACCCAACCTCAGCACTCACCCACTTAGAACTTTGGACTGATTTGAGTCCTGTGAGATGGTCCAAGACAGTAGTTAAAACAGCAGCAATCTTTATTTGGGCATGAAGAACACATGTGGGTCTTCACTTCTAGCAGCCCTGGTCCCTTGTTGCAGCAGTTTACACAGTTTAGAAATGTGTAGTAAGGCTGACCTTGGATAGATATTTGCAGTGTATACAATATGAGACACATTACAAGGTGATCTCTTAAATTGTCAAACCCTAGAGTAATCTGGCACCAAAGTTGAGCAAGTAGATCAACACCAGACTGTCTGATTCATATCATATTTACAGCTGTGTGAGTACTGATAATCTAACAAAGCAAAGGAGAAAAACCTATTAGTGAACACTGCACCAATTGTGGACATTTGTCCCTACAACAGACTAACTCAAAAGAAACCTGTGTATTCACACCCAAAAAGGAGGATCTTCTCATTGAGGTTAGCAAAAGATAAAACTGTAGAGAGCCTCAAGGAATATAACAGGTAAGCTTTCTGTATGTACATTATTTCAGTTACAGTCCTGCTCCTGAGACAGGTAAGTCTACTACGGGCTCACCATAGCCCGTGCTACTTGGAACTTTTGTCCCGAGTAGCTAAATCTACAACAACAACAACGTATGTACATTAGGTGTGGAGACGGAGGCTCCTGTAGAGTGAGTGGCATCCTCCCGGAGGGACATCTTGCTTGTGAATGAGCTGCTTGGCTGCCTATGCCTTGCTTGCTATCTAGTGGCAAGTGACTTGTGTTCAGATGGTGATTTAACTACAGTAAAGTGTGTTTACACTATTAGTCAAGGTCACAAATGTGTCCAAGCAGTTGCTTGTTTTGGAGTGTTGCACCTTTCTGTTTTTTTTTAATTTATCCTTTGACTTTTTGGTGATCTTTGATTCCTAGACTCTTTCTTAAACTTGGTGCAGGAAAAGGGAGGGAGGCAGGTTCTAGTGCTGAGCCCTGATACGCTCTCATGAATCATTACCAGTCCAGTCTGTGTGCCTAGTCTTGGTAGTTTCAATCAATTTGTAGCATTGTAGAGTATAATGCTTGCTCTTATTATCATGTATAAATCTATTAAAACAAAAATACGCTTAATCATAAATATACCATTTTACATACCTTAAACTTGGTGCAGGAAAAGGGAGGGAGGCAGGTTCTAGTGCTGAGCCCTGATAGGCTCTCATGAATCATTACCAGTCCAGTCTGTGTGCCTAGTCTTGGTAGTTTCAATCAATTTGTAGCATTGTAGAGTATAATGCTTGCTCTTATTATCATGTATAAATCTATTAAAACAAAAATACGCTTAATCATAAATATACCATTTTACATACCTTCCTGTAAAGGTACTGGAGACTCTATGTTTTCTTTCTGTTGCTTGGGTGTAAAGTCTGTCTTGAAAACTTGTATAGGAGCCCATTCCAAGTACAGGGGTGAATACTTAAATTTTGAGTAAGCAAGGTTACGGAATGCTTTCTTGGCTTCACCTGGATCTAGGTACTCAATAACACCTAGAAAAGCAGAGTACAATGTCAATTTTAAAGTATAATTCAAGACAATTTAAAAATATTTTGAGAAAACTGAATAAAAACATCGAGGCAAACTAATGCTAATATTGAGAAGAGTATGATATTATGTTTAAACCACTATGAGGAGAATAAAAGGGGGAGACAAAATTCAAGATACTTACCAGACACACCGGCAGGAGGCAAAACTACCCGTCCCAGTTCTCCATAGCGGCCAAAAATTTCTGATAATTCACTGGCAGTTGTTTTAGCTGGGAGATTCTTCACCAAAATTATTGTGCTAGATCGCTGCACGCCTGGACTCGAAAATGCCTCCAAAGATATTCCATTATCCTCTAGGAACCTATTAGTAGAGTAATTTTGTTTAAATGAGTTATTTTATTAAAACAAATAGTTTATACAATATAATGTACAGTATATTAAAAAATCATGCTAATTAGAATTTTGGTAGCTATTTATTTAGGCTTCATGAAACGAACAAACAAGCTTTAAATATGTGAAAAGCACTTGTACAGTATACATATATACTAAGCAGCACACTTGGTCTGTACCAGTGTAGATTATTGCAGATGATTTAGACATTTTCTCCTCCTCTTACAGCTTGGTCAGGGCTGCCCTGGAGGTGGATTAATACAAACTAGAATGTAGACAGAAAAGTACTTTCCATAAACCCATAAGTCAACTCCAGACACAGCTGCATTTTGGCACACAATGGCAGTCAGAGCAACTGACTGCCAACAGATGGCAGCACCTAACCACAACATGGTCCTCACATAAAATCACTTCACATTTCATCTTGATTCAGAATTAAAAGAAAGAAAAAAAATCACCAAGAGGAGGAGAACCAGGGCAAGGAGGAATATTCAACTTGGTCACATCACCATGCCTTGAATGGTTACCACCATGCAATCTAGAGGAATGTCATGTCTTGCCTGGGTTGCCAAATAGTGTAAAAGAGAGCAATGAATGCCAAAGCAGCATGGAATACAGCAGCTACAACTTCCCTAGACTTTTGCAGCTCAAGGTGAACAGTTTCACCAAGTTTCAACAAGGATATAAACACATGCTAGTGAAGCAAATACTAAAAAATGGAAATGAGTACACAAGAAAATAGGCTCCAGTCATTTAAGAGGATGACCAGTGCTTATCTGGAAAGATAAACCAGGACCCGAAGGGTTGGGCGACTAGGAGCAGCCAGACTCTGCTGACAGGCTCAGCAGCTGCATCTATAAGGTGAATGACCTAAATAATGGGAGGGGGGGGGGGAGTCATTACCTACTATGCATACATTTGCCTTGCTGTTGTCTGTTATGATTCACTTGACATTTCTGAAGATTGGTTCCTTGCTGAGGGAGATCAGTTGAACTCTGCACCTCTCTGATGGGGGCCAGGTTTTGGCCTGTTGTCTCCGGTAGATAGGACTCTCAAGGGCTTGGTGTGACTATAGACATGGAGCTAGCCAATGCAGAATAGATTCAGGCCCTTTAAAAAATGTCACAGAATAATCAAGAGAACCAAAGATGTATGATGCTCGAGCCCACATGTGAGGCACTGAAACCAAACACATTAAAATATGTGCAGGAGTACAAGAATGTAAAATCTCTTGTATATATATAAATAAATAAAAAATAAAATTAAAAATGTGCACAGTCCAAATGCCTATATCTCATACCTGATTTCTAGGCACCTGTGTACAAAGAGGCTTCTCAAGAGGAGAGTAACCCAGCTGAGTGTATCACAGACCAAGCAGAGAGAAGACAAGTCTGTCCACGTCACATCACCAAAGCTCATAGACATGCAAACACAAACAAGTACACACATAAATTGTTTGCAAGCATAGATCATTGCACAAAGACACACACACATCTGCTGTCGCTCAACTAAGAATCAGTCCCTTGTTGACCTGATGCTCAGTCCTGCCTGGATTGAGAACTCCAATGTCTAATGTCCTCTTAAGGTAGTTGGGTGGTGAGACTTAAAAAAGATTTCTGCTGGCTAAGGTGATGAGAAAGTTGTTCTAACCCTGGCTGTAGGTAGCATGGCCCTATTGAGAAGTGGGGCTTGCCTAAGGAGGAACTGAGTGACTTATGTTAAAAAATGTGACGTTATAATTAGACAAACCTAAAGTGTGTATGCACAAAAAGTCAAGACAAACTTCAATATCTGAATAAATTTTATATTCACCTTTTAGTTTCATCTACAATTTGAGCCTCACCAAGAGCCAGATTGACAGCCACACTCTGCTTGCCTTCTGAGTAAAGGATCTGGAAAGATATTTCAAATATAAAACCTTACATTCTAATTACCTTAAATTTAGGTCACTAATTACATTCAATGCTGCATTTTGTAATGGTAATGGCTTCTCACAGACACACGACATTGACATTAGACATATTAAGACAGATTAGATGTAAAGATGTAAGTCTCATTCTAACCACACACTCAGACCTTAATAAAGCACTCAAGAGTGTGAAAGACTTGGTGTAATTCCTTACAGAAATTTCACAAATACAGTACACAAGTGTGGGTTTTTTATCACATTGAATGTAATAAAATGTCTCTTTCTGGTGGGTCCCTTGGTGGCCCCATGAGCTATCCATCTGGACCCCTCCAAACCTTAGATACCACACCAGGCTCAAATGGATCACTAGTGACTAGTAGGTACCAGGATCAGACTCGGGTCCCCTTAATACTGTATAAGCAAAAATAAGTCTGGGGATTTTGGATCATTACAGAACCAAATGAAAAATCCACCAGAAAGGAAGAGTACCTCAAAACAAGCAGTTGCTTGGACATTTGAAACTGGTCCAAACTATATACACATTGTCCAACTGCTAGTTAGGCACACTCACTCTCTCACCACCAGGTGGCAGATTTGGTCACTTAAGGATTCTGGCCAGCCAGTCCAGTCCTTTCCACAATGTGTAGAAGAACAATCCTCAGGCATCACAAGAAGAAAAGCAGGGCAGGAACTGAAAGTCATTCTAGTAACAGCCAACCACCACCACCTCATAGTGCATGGCCAGTCTTTAGCCTGATGTAGCCTTATGCAGATCACTGCTGCTCCTTGGATCACATCTTCCTCTTCAAGTCCTTGTTATTCAGATAAGTGGAGGCCATCCTTTGGACACTGTCCTGCAGGGGTCATTTTGTTTATGTATTGTTCCATTTTTGTGCATTTGTTTCAAGTGTGTATGTGTTTATTTACCTGCTTTCTTATATGGACTTTTAACTATGATTAAGGGTTCCCTTCCCCAAGTGCTTGCTAGAATTGCCCCCATCCTAACAGGATTTACTTGCCTGGTGGGGTTTAGCTGTCAGTCCCAGAGAGGCCAGCCGTCAGAAGGAAGGTGCTTCGCCATGAGTACTGCACAGGTTGGCAACTCTTCTGTGAGAGCTCTGAGGTTAGGGAGGGGGTTTCTTCTTTGCTGGGATGTGTCACTTATGCCTTATCACAGCTGTGTGTTCCTAAGCTGGCCCCTCAGTGCTGCCCTTGTGAGGCGAGAAATTGCTGAATGTCTCGGTCTTGTTCCATGGCAATGGCCAATCTTACTGCCTCTGTCAAAACTGCTTATGGACATCCTTTCCACTATGGGGCCTGCTTTGTTTGTTGTTGTGGAGGAGGGGATCCATTCCTCTCTTGCTCCACCCCAGCCCCTCCCTGCCCTATGATATATGGATCATGTATGTGTTTTGTGTGCTGTGTTTGCATGTGTGTGGGGTTTATCGGGCGGCTGCTGCTTTAAGGGTCTGTTTTTCCATGTGTGTTGTTGCAGCTGGAAGTTGATGTGGATGCACAAGTCAGCCCTTGTGTGTTTTTGTGAAGCAAAGTTGGGGAAATATGGTTACCAAAAGTTTCCTATTTTCCCCTTCTTTCTTTCTCTTGGTGCTGAAGAAATGTTAACACCAAAGGCGAAACAAGAGCAGCTTTGCCAAGGCTAAACATAAACAGTTCATGCAGAAGGTTGGACAGGGAATGAAGCAGTTCAATCCTGAAAGGTCGAGAATGTCTCGCAGGTTTGCCAAGTCCTGCTGGGGGAATGGAAACAACAGGGACACTCACTGAACAGAGGCAGTGAACTCGACCATAATCAACCCAACCACATTGCGATGACCACATGAATCTGAGGGGAGGACTCCTAACCCAACACCCTTGAACTTAAAGGAAGGGTGGGAAGGTGATTGACCTACTCCTCTGGAGACCCTGGGAAATGACACTGGCCAAAAGAAGCACCAATTGGAGGAAGTACAAACAAACAGAAATCAGGCTTTGCTACCCCAACCAGCAACCAATGAGGGCTCAACGCAAAAGACAGATCCCCTCTGCAAAAGAACCCAAATGAGAGGGGGCTAGAAAGAGGAGCAAAAAATGGAAGGTGGGCTAGAGCATTAAGAACCAAACATGAATCTAAAGCCTGGGCCAGCACTGCCTGTCAACATGCAAGATGAGCCCAGAAAAATGCTGCCAGTGCCTCCCAAACTGCCAAGGTCAAAGCTGCAGGCAACATGGTAGCCACACCAAAGCCAGAACATTCAAGATCACCTTGGAGCTGGTCAGAGAACCACCCAGATGTACAAAATGGCCACCAAGTGAGCATGAGCCCTGTGAGCCTCCTCAGCAAGGGCTTCAGAGACCAAAAGCAGCTGGACAGGAGCTGCAACTTATTCACATCCAGGGAAGAACCAGAACAAGCAAGCAGCTTTTGTGTGGCCAAAAAGCAGCACCACCCAAAACCATCTAAAGGACAGGACTCACTTCCTGCCACTCAAGGCTTAGTTAAGAGAGACTTACTGCATCACTGCCATAAGCTGAGGGGGACTACTGAAGAAATCTGACCAGAAAATAAGATAAGGAAGGATGATACAAAGCTGCATTAAGGAGAAATAATACCTACCCTTATGTAGACGGTGTGATATGAAGATAAAAAGAAAAAAATTAGAACAGTAGAAATTAATACTCCAAGAAACAGGCATGATGTTGGAAGAATTTTTAGAATAAAAAATGAAAATGTCATGGAAAGAGGCGAGTGAATTGCAAGATTGAGGAAAGCATACTGAGGAAATTTTGGCATGTTGAGCAAATGAATGATGAAAGACAGGCAGCAAGTGTATTCAAGCAAACTTGAGGATAGTAAGAGGAAGGATGAGAAGAAGACAGGCAAACATTGCAAGTGTAGGAGAATAAAAACAGCACACGACATGGTGAGGAACAATTCTGAGTGACAGCATTTTGTTATGAGGGACTCAATCTTTGTAATGTATACAGTTCAACTCATGAGTAGTAGTTTACATCTTGTCTTATCAAGTGGTTAGGTGTTGATGTCTAAGATTTGCTGCAGTGTGATTGTCTTCTCTCTCCGTAGAGCTATATAGTGACAATGATATTTGGATAAATTGATAAATGCTATGCTTAAATTTGTGTAACTGTTTCATTAGACTGTGGTGCTCCTTTTTCTTTATCCAAGCCGATGTCTCCCCCTTCCCATTACAGCAAAAATCGGGTTACGTTATTATAATGCCGAGGATGATACTTGAAACAATATGAGATACTACATGATGCAAGAATATTTTCCATTAATATGAAATAACAGCAAGCATTACCTATAAATCATAATATATTTAACTACTGCACTGCACATAGTGCCTTAAGGCACTCAATGGGTGGTGTGAACAAATTTTAAATTCTGCAATATTTTAATGTTAGTTTCACTGATTTGAAGTGAAAATTGCTAAATTTGGCAATATTTTGTCATTGTTCTGGTTTTTAAAACTTCTCAGGTAATATATAACAATCCATTCAGAACTGCACCTTTGACATTTGTCACATGAAACAGGTGGACAGTGCAAGGGTTATTGCTGAAAGATAACTCACTATCATGAGGCATTGAAACACTCACTCAGATAGAATGGAAAAGAACTGTAGAGGGTCAAAAACAGTAAGCTCAAGCCTTGCAAGCACAACTAAGCAGGTACAATAGAAAAAAAAAATGACAATGAATGATTAATTACATACTTCTTGTTTGGATTTGTTGTATTTCTCAGCCATGACATCGATAACAGCACTACTACCCATGAACAAGGTGTTCCAGTTGTGCCATGACCCAGCTGTGGCTTTCTGCTCCTTAGCTTTCTTGTCTTTAAAGCTCATACCCTCTGAAACATACAGAGGAATAATAAAGTAAAACATACAATTCAGTTCGTGCTGAAAGTACCACTAGTGTAGTATCATACAAAGTCACTTGTGCTATAAAAAGCAGGATGCTCTATACCAAGTCACTCCTACTTGCGACCGACAATTAACCACCACCTTTCTGTTACAATGGGTATCCCCAGCACACTCCTTAGTGATCCTATGTAAATGTTCATATATTATCTCTTATATACTGCAATTTTTATTTCATCAGGAATATCCAAAACAAAAAAACTGCATTGAATGTAATGAAAGGCCATTTTCTGGGTGAGCCACGGAGGCTCCCTGGAGCTATTAGACTGATATTACCTAACATTTAAAACCTCGATTTTCAAAAAGGCCTCGTTTTCAATTTTTTTTGGCTCTCAAGCTCAATTTCATAGACAAACTTGACTCGACATTCGAGGTTTTCCTTGGTGCTCAAGTTTGTCGATACACATAAGGGCCGACTGAATGCGTTGCATGCTTCAGTATATCCGTGTCTCCCGCCTAGTGATGACCACGCTTGAATTCTTTATGAAGAATTTAATTGGTTTTGTGCTTTTTTGGTTTCTGAATATAAGAGCTATTATATATCACGCCATGGGTTCCAAGAAAGTCAGTGGTAAAGTTCAATCTAAGAAAATAGTTGTGAAGATGACGATAGAGGAAAAAAAGCGAACATTCATAGCGAGACAATGTGATGTCTCGCTACAGACACATGTTAAAACGTAGGGAAAAACAAGTGTCTATAGACAGATTCTTAGTAAGACAAGCAAGCAGTGAGCCACGACCAGGTCCTAGTGAAATGCCTGCAAAACATAAGAGAGAGAGTACCCCAGAAATATCATCACTGCTGTTATAATGGAAGGGGACTCCCATTCCAAACACTAACACCTCTCCTCCTCCCCCCTTCCTCACTGTCTTCCATACACCAACAAGAGTCCTCAATAAAGGTAAGATATATTGTACTTATATTTTGTACTACAGTATGTACAAGTACAGTAGTATGTATAAAATGTGTTTTTAAGTTAATATTTTTTGGGGCGTGGAACAAATTAATTCAATTTACATTATTTCTTATGGAAAATTTGTTTTGGTTTTGAATTTTTGGTTTTCGAATCGTCTCTGGGAACGGATTAAATTTGAAAACGGAGGTACCACTGTATTAGTCTGGGGCTTCAGTCAATTGGAGTTCTGCATACTGGGGACCACAAACCAGAACCTAGCCCCCTCAGAGAGGCGCAGAGAGCAATTGCCTAAGGAAACCCCACTGTTTTTGGGAGTATTCCACGTCTGCCAACGACTGGGGTTAGGCCCCCAGACCAGAAAGATAAGCGTCTCAAAACAAACCCCACCTGGTAGAAAATTGGAAACCCGAGACCGAACAGAGATCCAGAACTCCCCCAAAAGACAAAAGGAAACAAGCAAATGTCATCAACCCAGCACACCATTTGTTTGTGCATCTCTCCCCACCCCAGAGGGGAAGTACCGGATCCCGTGCCGGCAGCCCTCTTCCCACTTCGGAGACTAAGCAAATGAAAACGAAACCGCTGACTGGAGAGAGGGAAGGTGCCAGGGAGCCTCCGGAGCTCACCTAGAAAATGGTGTTTCATTACATTCAACGCTGGTTTTCTGTGGGGAGCCCTGTCGGCTCTCTTGAGCTACATACCCAAGATAAGTAAAGGTGGGACGGCTGAGTGGACAGAACTTGGGATTTGTAGTCCTAAGGTTCCGGGTTTGATCCCTGGCGTAGGCGGAAACAAATGGGCAGTTTCTTTCACCTTGATGCTCTTGTTCACCTAGCAGTAAATAGGTACCTGGGAGTTAGACAGCTGCTACGGGCTGCTTCCTTGGGATGTGTAACAAAAAGGAGGCCTAGTCTAGGACTGGGCCACGGTGATGCTAAGCCTTGAAATCATCTCAAGATAACCTGGGAGGCGGTAGCACCACGAGCCTCAACTTGAAGACGAGACAACTGGCTGCAACTGGTGACCCAAGATCACACAAGAATGACTTGGATCCAGAATATATTCAGAACAGTGTCAAAAATAATCATTACCTTTAGATTTCTCATCCTCTTCTTTTGAAACACCTGGAAGAATATGTAGCAATCTTCCTTTGAAAGTTGTTCCATCTAATTCAGTCATAGCTCTGACTGCATGCTCAGGAAACAGAAAGGTCACTGTAGCGAATCCTTTTGGGCGACGGGTGAATTTACAGATAGGAAGACTAATATCTGAAATTTCTCCTGATGAAGAATTAAAAAGAATTCAAATTATTTTATGTAAATAATAAACATACTGAACATAACTACACTTTATATCAACAAATTTCATAAAAAACTATAGAATTTATTAGCACATCAATAAACTATATTGTATGTCAGCTATCTTATCACAGCAGCACCTCACATACTGTACCTTTAAAAGTTTAATTTTAAGTATCACTAAAGTAAAAAACCAGCCCTGCTGAATGTAATGAAACGTCGTTTTCTGGGTGAGACCCAGAGGCTCCCTGGAGCTTATCCAGGCTGATATGCATATATTAGACTTTGGCATCAGTTAGTGTGAATAGAGTTCTTAGGCCAACCGGGGACCACGAGCCAGGACCTGGCCCCTGGTCCTGGCTCGTTTGGACCAGTCCCTGGTTTGGAGCATTCTATGTCTACCATCGACTGGGTCAGGCATCCAGAAAGGTAAGCATCCCAAAACAAACCCCTATTTTAGTTGAAACTACTACTAAAAGTCAAACGAGTGGACAGAACTCCCCAAAGAAAAACACGCAAACGAGCAAGACGTCACTACGTTGCCGTGCCGCCGTCTGTGCAACTCCCCTTCTTCCTCCCCGGGAGAGGAAAAGGGGAACCCCTAACCCCTTGTGCCAGCCACCCAAAACCTCAGTTCTGAGGCTGGATATAAAAAACATGCAAAAAACTGCCGACCGGAGGGAGGGAGGGAGGGTTGCCGGGAAGCCTCCGGGTTTCACCCAGAAAATGGCATTTCATTACATTCAACGCTGGTTTTCTGGGGAGGAAGGGGGGGGAGCCCATTTGGCTCCCTGGAGCTATGTACCAAAAGACGAAAACATGAGGGACTTACCCAGGAGGCGGTCGTTGCTTGCTCCTCAACGTGAAGTTGAGACAACTGGCTGCAACCGCCGACCCAAAGCGGCACAGGCCCAGGAACATTTACCAGGTAACACGCAGCCAGGACCCTGTTAGACTGCAAAAACCCTATGCCCAAATGTCCGCCCAAGACATGTAACCGAAGATGGCAGTAGGAGCAGCACACTTACAAACGTCGTGGGCACGGGAATAGACCGCAGGCCGGCTGGACAGAATAACCTGCGGATGATCTGAGAGACCCGAATCCTGGAACAGGGAAGAAGGGAAACCGGTAAATAACGGCAAAGAGCTACAACCAGACGCAACACATGATGCACCCCCAGCCTGACCAACCAAGCATCAACAACCCAAGGACCCCTCCGGAAAGCAGCTGTTTCATTCTTCGCCAGAAAAGTGGGAGATGCCTGCAACCGAACAAACCTATCACCAGGACCAAATGAGCAGAAACCCCTGTGCCGGAGGAGAGCATGAAGCTCCTCGACCCGACCCCCAGAGGCTAATGCCAACAAGAAAAACAGCCTCAGAGAGATGATCCAGAATTGAAGGGGCCACAACAAACCGAGGAGAGAAATAAGAGAACCCTATCCAAAGACCTCGACGGCTCAGGCGGCACATGAGCAGGCCGGAGGTGAAACAATGTCTGAGACAGCTTGCGAAACAGCACAGAAGTAACATCAATGCCGAAAGCAAGCTGCAGCGGCACCGCCAGCGTCACACGATAAGAGGCAACAGTATTCAGCATAGGATGACGGTTCTGAAACAGCCACAAGAGAAAGGACAAGACTACCCGAACTGAAGCAAAGTAAACCTACAAAGAGACAAAAAGAAATGCAAGGACCGCGAGGAAACTACATACTGCCACTGAGACGAAGCACGCAGGTGGGACATCATCAACGAAGCCACCTGATCACCATACAGATGGTGATAGACCTGAGTCAAACATACCAGACGCGAAGACTCAAGGAGAAGATCGAACCAGACCGATCATCTGAAAGAGGCGGAGCCACGGGAAAACCCTTGGGAATAACTGTTCAACATCCTCAAGTGTTTGTGTTCTATGTTTTGTGATTATTGATTCGCCTTTTGCCACTTTAGCACCCATAATGTCCTTTTTCTTAGCCAGTATGGTGGATATCGTTGACTGAGGTTTGTTGTACTGCCTAGCCAGTTCAACAACCCACACACCATCTTCATATTTACGAATGATATCTTGTTTCTGCTCTATGGTCATTCTTACATGGGCTCTCATATGTTGAGCCTTACCACTGACTTTCCTGGGACTCATGGTGTGATATATAATAATTACTTTAATGTTCAAAATGCAAAAAATCACCACAAACGCGGAATTTCTTATAGGCGCGATCGTCACTAAGCGGGCAGCTGTAGTAAACTGAGGCAGGTCGGACCGCGTGGCTGGGAACCACGCGCTCGGTCGACCCGAACGTGTACCAACAAATATCGTAAGTCGACGACACCATTGGATGTCGAGTTGCATTTTTCGATGAAATTTACATCGTAACTCGAAATTATCGTTAGTAGGGGCAATCGTAAGTCGAGGTGTCACTGTATATGCTTGGGAAATTGTAAGTCAGGTTTCAAATCTGCACAGAACAACTGTAGTATATTTGAGTGAGAAATATGGTAGGAAATGTAAAATAAATCCACTGAAAAGTTAGGGTGCTATAAGCACAATTAGAGATTACAGGGTAAACATCATAGACCCACTACTTTTCAATATCCAATCAACAAACATAAGAAATGTCTCAATTAATAATGGAAGCTCTCAGGAGAGAGCTGGCAAAGTTTCTGCTGAAAGTACCAGATCAGCCTGGCTGTTGTTGCTATGTGAGCTTACAGACTACAAAACAGCCATACAGACCAGTTAATTAACAGAAAAAGTTGGCCACAGGCCAGGATGTAGGAAGAGAATTCATGAAATCAGGAGCAGGTAAATATGGAATATCGGTAATTCGTACTTGAACTGAGCATATTTTCATTGCTATTCTAGAATTTTCAGCAACCCAAGAATCTTGAGGGGCCTGACAGCTGAGTGGACAGCGCTTCTGATTCATAGTCGTGAGGTTCCGGGTTCGATCTCCGGTGGAGGCGGAAACAAATGGGCAGAGTTTCTTTCACCCTGATGCCCGTAACCTAGCAGTAAATAGGTACCTGGGAGTTAGACAGCTGCTATGGGCTGCTTCCTGGGGAAGGGGAGTGTAACAAAAAGGAGGCCTGGTCGAGGACCAAGCCGCGGGGACGCTAAGCCCCAAAATCATCTCAAGATAACCTCAAGGAGCCCTGTATGAAACGTTTAATAAGTACTGTTGTCCAGAGGACACAGTAGATCTTAACTAATGGAAAAATCAGATGGCTCATGATCAGAAAGATATTTTCATGTTTACTCCACACAGTATTTTCATTAACCACCATGCTGCCCCAAGTTTATTGTGAAATTCCCCCTGTGCGCATGAAATACTGTAAAGTGTTCAAAAAATTCTTTTTCTTCATAAAATGATAATTTCCTTCCCTGAACATGTCTATGTAAAAATATATACTAAATTCCACTTACTTTGGTTGTGGGGACGTGGACAAGGTGCGTTGTGACGTCATGAGGGCCTGGTCGACCGTGCGTGATTCACCCAGACACAGTCACGCGGGCCATTCAAGCACCGGGTGTTGCCACAAATATATTTTCAATTATTTGTTCTATGTATTTCCAATGCGGTTTTATTTGTTTTTTTATCGTATATGATGCACATTTGTGTCCTTTACAATATGTATACAGTAGAATGTTCATAATGTTCCATGGAACTGTGATACATGTGTCAGTAATGTTTCCACAATAAATGTTTATTGTTGCAATATTACTTGTTAAAAATTCACTAAAATTACAATATGTACAGTTTCACACACTATTTACACAGTAACACACTGTATTACACACTCAGTATTTTGGAAGTGAGAAAAAATCAACGAAGTAGTCCATGGTACACAGCGCAACTTCGCTCTCGTTACACCAAGTACAGATAGATTTTCGCTTCCTGTTTCTTCATTCTGTGTGCTTGCAAATAACGCACTCATGTACACCCTTGGCATTAGTACCTGTAGGTGATATGTAGCCAAGCTTGTAAAACGTAAGGTAGTCTTGAAAAGATTACAGGAAAAGATCAATTTGTAAGGTAGTCATGAAAAGATCACTTTGTAAGGAAGTGACAGGAAGAGATTCAGCCAGCCTCAAAATGTGTCCGCCAGTCAAGAAGAGATTCAGCTATTCTTGAAAATATCTATGGAAAACACCACCATGGAAGCCGCTAATACTGTTCATCTATGCTACTTGTATCAGATGCATCATCACTGAACGTAGAAAATGATTCATCTATGTATCATCTAAATAAATTGGAGATAGCATAGCATAGGTGGGCAAGGATGGAGCTCAGAGTTACAATTGGATACACTCGCTGTATTGTCCTCATAGGTGCTGTATCACTTGCATCCGACCTTTGTGTTAGGTCCTTATTGCACCTAGCTTCACCAATATTATGACCCTTATGTTCTTCAAACAAGGTCCTAAGAGTCCATTTCGTACACAACCAACTTCACACACATTTAGAATGGGTACGAAAAAATCAAAAAGTTTTCTCGGTTGGCGCAGTTTCCCACCGACCGAGAATACTCGGTTGGCGCAGTTAAGTAGTTAATCTAATTTCAGTGTGAATATTTATGGAGGGAAAACAGCTGCTCAGACAACCAAAGGTATTTGGGCCATCTTTATTCTGAGGTAGATATACAATATAGTTACTGTACTGTATAAAGATAACCAATTTCTAATTAATAATTAAAAATCAAAATCTTAACAATATTTAAATTACCATATTTCACAAAAAGTTCCCGCAAGTCATCTTCAGTAATAGAGTACCAAAGGTTCCGCACGAAGATCTTTCCCGATTCAGCTACAGGCTCTGCATTCTTCACTTTTTCTTCAGTAGCACTCCAAGGAGCACTATTTTGTGAAAAATCATTCATTTCAGGAGGCTTCTCATATTTCATGATATGTACTTGAACACCATCTGAAGTAGAAAAATATGTAACAAATTTTAATATACAAATTCTAATTAGATATACTGTACTGTACAGAGCATCTGGCATTGTTTTATTACTGTGCATACCATTCTTTAAAGTAAATTGGTACAAATACACAATAATGAATCTTATTTAAAGAATAAGAGTTAATGACTGATTGCAATTTTCAATATTTACTGAAATACTTTCAATACAGTATTTAAGTAGAGAAGTTCAACTGAAATGGAACGAAGATACAGTAGCATCAAATCATTTTATAAGGTTAAATAAACTGTCAATAAAATAATATATAAATTCTGCAATAATTTCTGGGATGACTACATTCCCTCAGTGGCTTTCTTCACCATTATGACTGCCACCATAGGGACAATACACTCTCAGACTTTCTCACTGTTGTAACGGACACAGGAACCAGAATTCCATCTCCTGACTGAAACGAAGAAGCTGAAGGTATCAAGACACCACACATTTAGGGAAAACCCTACTAAAGGGGCTGAAAGAGCATCATAAAAGCTCAAAACACTCAAGAAAAAATGTTGGATACAAATACCAAACTCAAAAATTATTGACAAGGAAGCAAAATACCAACCAGCTACTGCCCTCTCCTGTCACCACACACACAGCTAATTTACCAGGGGTTTGGCTTCGACCGAACCTATCAATCTTCAGCCAGTTCCCTGCTGTCTGGCTCATGTCTTTCTCAGACTGAGAATATTTTGCATAGTGGCTGGTTTTGCTATTATTTTTATTTGTGTAGTGTTTGTTTTATACCTTATTACACTCTTTGTAACTGTATTTCCCAGTCACCTTGCATGTCTCACGGTTTATACTTTGTTTCAGCTATGCTTTCAAAGTTATCTTCAATGGCACACTGTTTAGCGAAGATTTCATGTGAACAGAGTTATTTTCTCTAATGGAGGCAATTCCTCCTTAGGAAGAACTCCATTTGCATCTTTCCTTATATCAGGTGGTGCATGTCTTGTAATTAAATTAAATCACATAATTAAATTAGTTTAGAATGACTCTTAGGATCCACTTGTTCAGGTGTTTATCCCAGCACAAAGACATTTTGGGGCTAGAAGCAAGGGAGGGAGGGAGGGAGTGGAAGCCGGGGGCACTATACCTGAAAGGGAAGGAAGAGATGTGGACAGATCCAAGGTGGAATTCATCAACACCTCCAATTCCAGGTGCCTAAAACCAAGACAGGCCAACTCCAAGGCATCCACTGGGCACAAAGTCATGAATGCTGAAGGTGGGCAAATCAAATGCGCAAGGCAACAGCTACCTGATAAGCTTGCATTTCACTAGGAATGTCTAAGAGAAGAGCCACACTGGGGAGGAACAAACCCCATAGAACTCAGGATCATAGGTGTCACCAATCCAACAGACAGAATGGTGGAAGCAAAATGAATGAATGTCACCCCTGACATTTTAAAGTCCTATATTCAAGCAGATGTATTAAACTATTTTGTGATGTAGGGGAAATAATGAGAAACCCAATAATAACTGCAAAAGGCAAAAAATGACTTTATATATATGTGATCTAGGGCATAGATACTTACCTAAGAAACTTTTATCTTTCATCAAAGCCTGCTTCATTTCCTTTTCAGTTCCAAAGCCAACATAGGCTACTAATCGAATGTTCTTTGGAATTCTAAGACTTTTGTATTTTAGAGGTTTGAGGAACGTCTTCACGCTTTTCTTTGTAAATGTTCGGCTAGTGTTTTGCTGGGACTTGCACATTCCTCTAGCTCGAATAACAACAGTATGAAATTCCTTCCATTTCTGAAAATAATGATAAGACAGCAAATTAAAATTGGGTATTGTTGTTGTATATGAAAAAATTAGTTGAACACAAAATCTGATCAATGAGGATTTAAGAAGAAAGTAAATTGAGCATTGAGTGTAACGTGATAGCTATAATTTCTGCCATTACTGCAATATTTGCTGCAGTACATTGCAGTATATGTCAATGAAGATAGCCAACACATGCACAGTAGGTGGTGTCCCTCCCCCCCCACACACACATATAAATTATGTGAGAAATCTTTAAAGAATTCTGATAAAGAAAAAGATCTAGAGGTGGTTCTAGATAGTAAACTATCACCTGAGGACCACATAAAGAACGTTGTGCGAGGAGCCTATGCTACGCTTTCTAACACATGGATGGTGAAATACTAAAGAAATTGTTCACGACTTTTGTTATGCCAAAGCTAGAATATGCATTGGTTGTGTGGTGCCTGTATCTTAAGAAGCACATCAACAAACTGGAAAAGGTACAAAGACATGCTACTAAGTGGCTCCCAGAACTGAAGGGCAAGAGCTACGAGGAGAGGTATGAGGCATTAAATATGCCAAAACTAGAAGACAGAAGAAAAAAGAGGTGATATGATCACTTCTTACAAAATAGTAACAGGAATTGACAAAATTGATAGGGAAGATTTCCTGAGACCTAGAACTTCAAGAACAAGAGGTCATAGATTTAAACTAACTAAACAAAGATACAGAAGAAATATAAGAAAATTCACTTTTGCAAACAGAGTGGTAGACGGTTTGAATAGTTAAGTGAGAAGGTGGTGGAGGCCAAAACCATCAGTAGTTTCAAAGCGTTATATGACAACAAAGAGTGATGAACACCACGAGCGTAGCTCTCATCCTGTAACTGCACTTGGGTAATTACACGCACACACAAAATACATGTAACATCAAGTATTATACCTTTTCCTTTTCAATTTTTTTGCCCTCGATATCATCACTGCTTTCCGGCTGGGACTTCATGAGACTTTTGAGATACTGAAAATAGAAACAAACCAGTATTAAAAGACATTCATGAAAAATATGTAAATGTACAACATAATGTAACATACTGCTGTATCTTGTGGCGTTGTATGAAAAGCAATGAAAAAAGCTCACCATAAGGTTAAAGCTTTAAATTGTTGGGAACCCATCTTCTTACAATACCATACCAAAATAAGTTGTAGCACCATCATTTATTCTCGTACACTTAATGCTGAACTCCACAAATCCATTCAATATCAATACAATATAACATAACCAGTATATATTTTTTCTACATATATTACTGCATTATTATGTTTTCATTTTATATTTTACTTGACTGTGAAGCAATCATGACTGTTTATATAATTATATTCAAATTCTATAAATAATATAATTAATTAATAATTATCAGTCTTCCTTCTACTTGGTCTTGAAGGAAGCCGGCCCCGGGTGAAAGAGGGCCGTGATGATCTCTGAAACCCGTAGGTACAAGACTAGGACATCCACCTCCTGGGGCTCGTGCGACAGAGGCTCTGCTTCAAGAGGCCGGGGTCGTTCTAGCCCTTGATCGGGTGGTTCATCTCCGGCCCCGACCATGGCGGTCTCTGAGTTTGGAGTCCCTGTACAGTACCTTGGTCGGTACTTGGTATGGTACAGGCCTGGTCGACGATCGGGCCACAGGGACGATAAGCCCCGGAACCATCTCAAGGTAATGGCTAACTCGCAACAGCCACAGTTAAAGACTACAAAAGTCTGTACCATAAAGTGCATGCATGGAGGATAGAATCTGGCTGAAAGGCCAATACTCTGGATAGCAGCTCTGCCACCACAAACACCTGTGACAATAAATATTGTATTGCACACCCTTCATGGATAAGTTGAAATGTTTCCTGTGACACTAGTCCCAATATTTTGTCCTCCCTGACTGTGCCTAATTATGTTCTATGGACACAGCTGGATCTTACTTTAACCTAATAACAACATAATAAGATAATGTACTGTAAAGTAATGCAAACCAACAAAATTTACTTACATCTAAATCTGAAATATTCTTTTTAAAAGCTAATTTTTTTTCCTTGTCACCCTCTTCATTCTGTTCTTCTACATTTATTGTTCCATCTCCAACACTTTCATTGTTTGTGTCTTGTGAAGCATTGATGGCTCCTTCACTTAATCCCTTTTCGTCAATGCTTAGGAATTCCTTAAATTCAGGATCAGCCTCATATTGCTCCAACAACTGTTCCTTCAGAGACACTTTACTGCTTTTCTGTTTGTCTTTCTTATTTTTCTTTTTAGCATCAATTTCACTCTCAGTGACATTATCGAGAAGCTTCTTTTCATCCTTACTTTTACGTTGCTTGTTCTTTTCTGACCAAGAAACAGGTTTCTGATCACTTCCTGAAAATATAAATGGCAGTTGTTCAGTAGAGCTTTACAAAACAATATTTTTTTCTATACAAGCCTATATAGACATACAGTATGTATTGCTAATTAAAAAATCTAATTTTTTTTTAAATAAACAATAAGTTAGGGGGTAATGAAATGCGCCTTTCTGGATAGCATATCGGTAACTCCCAATGTTTAATTTAAGACAGTACAACCAGCAGATGGAGCGCTACTGGCTCAGGGAGGATGGAAAACCATGTCTTGAGGGTAGTACATCTCGCCTACAGGATTCTCTTTCGGTTCATATTTCTAATATTTCTCCTCGTATTGTTCCTTTCTTGCCCCTGTGGCGAGTCCCCCTTCCTAAATTTTGTTCTTCCTTGACCTGCATCACTAAAGCTTTTACCCCTCCTACGGTTCTTAAACGCCTTTTCCTTGAACATTTTTCTTCACACTTCTGCTCCGTTTCCATCTTCACCGATGGGTTTAAGTCTGAGGACAGTGTAGGCTACTCTGTTGTTTTTCCTGACCACACTTATATGTGTCGCCTACCTCTGGAGACTAGCATCTTCACAGCAGAATTTTATGCTATTCTCTATGCTCTTTGTCTCTTGCTTTCTCATTGTCAATCTTCCTTTGTGGTTGTTCAAGTGTGTCCTCATGGCCATGAGGACACATTTGAAGGCGGCTTCAAGTGAAGAAAATTACCCCAGTACCAAAAAGAGTAAAACCCCAACTTTCCCAAGGAAAGCATAAAACTCCCCAGTTCAACAATCGAAGGTAAGGGCCAAGAGAAGCAAAGCCTTTAAGAAATAATCCTGGTCTGAAGGGGAAGCAGAAAACCAAGGGAGTGATGATAAAACCTTGTCCAAAGATCAAGAAAGCTACGGAGGCACGTAAGATAGCTGGAGGTGAAAAATTGCCCAAGACAACTTGTAAAACAGGGCCAACAATACGTCAACACTAAATATAAACAGCAGCAACTACACCAAGGCTGAACAATATGAGGTAACAGTATAGCGCATTACAAGCCTATCATAAATAATCACAACAAAAATAAAAGGATTACAGGTACAGAAACTGAAGGCAATAGATGAAGATAGTGAAAAAGATGGAATAAGCACCAAGAAACCTTGTCATCATCCCAAAACCAAAGGTGAGATACCCAAAGATCAGCTGCCTGTGGACCACATAAATAGTAGTATACAAATAAAACACTCCAAATTTGTACATAAGCCAGAAAGCCACGGACCATTGAGAAACATATCTGGACCTTCCTGCTGAAAGTGGTGGAGCTGCAGAAAATGATGTGGATCTGTGCAGTGGGGCCAAAAAGACAGAAACCATGACTGGGCCAGCCAAAAGAGAGCCAACAGGAGAACTTTGCTAGAGAATGTTTCCAGTCTAGACACAATTTAAAGCAACAACCCAATTAGAGGAAAGAGATAAAGAAACTGCCATGGACCCCAGTCTAGATGAAAGGCGTCCACTGTAAGTCTTACAATCAGGGAATGGGGTCACATAAATTAGGAGCCATTAACATGAAGCGGTCTACCTTGGAGTAGCCGAACATCTTGCAAAGGATGATTCATCTATGGTTGGACATGCCCCAAACACAAGAAGCAAGTGAGCCAAACCCAGAAAATCCAGAAGACGAGCTACCCATAGAGTCCTGTCTCACAAGGGAAGAGACTAAAACAACCCCCCAGCAATTGAGACAATCAACCACCTGGGAGCAGCCCGAGTGAAGGTGGATGACGAAGCTCAAAGAGGGTGGTATGTGTCATAGGGACATATACCATATGTCATAGGGACATATACCATATATCATAGGGACATATACCATATATCATAGGGACATATACCATATATCATAGGGACATATACCATGTCATGGGAAAACCCCAAAAAGCCTGAAGGAAAACTGACAAACCAGAAGCTATCGAAGATCCCCACAGAACCGGCACCCAACAGTCTCAGTGATGGCAAAAGGTATAAAACCAAAGACAACAGTACAGTATAGTGCTCAGAGCTAGACCTTGACCAGAGGATACACCATGCAGGCAAAGTTCAGACTCCCACACAGCTGCTTGAGCAAATGACGAATGACCCAGAGACAATCCTCCACCAGCCTGGAGATTTGTATCCAAGTAGAGCAGCAATGCAGGTGACTGGAAGGAAAGCCAACCAAGAATCTCAGACCAGGCCCAATAAAGTCCAAACCTACTTTGGAACCAAAAGGGACTTTCACAAAAGAAAAAAAAAAACCTAGTGAGATGTGAAGAACCAGATCCCTGGCTTGCAGACACAGATTTGCTTAGAACCCAAACCACCCAGCCATCGAGATAACCCAAGACGTGAACCCCTAACACCTGGAAAAAAGGCAAACTCATTAAAGGACCCTTCAGTAACGCCAAAGTCTTGTTCTTCACCTAAAATGACATTGAAAACTGAAGCTGATAAGACTGAAAACCCTGAGCAAACACGAAAACAACCATGAAGAAATCATAACAAAGTAAAGTACACACCCGTGAATGAGAAGACAAATATAAAACGAAAGAACATGATCTAAAGACCATAAAAAATTCTCCTTCATTCCCCTCGAAAGGGGAATGAAGCAGTTGGAGTTGCTTACATATCAGTAACTACAGGGACTGAGATCTTTCTTGTGTTGTTACCTCATGCATTCTTCTGAGGATTTTAGTTTATCCTATTTTTTCTGGCTTTTATTTTCCAGGAGTTGTGTTGGCCTTCTGTTTAGGCTCTATAGCTCTCCAAGGGTTGTATTTTCCTTTTTAATACCACTTTTACATTTCGGGCAGTACTGTATTTTAAACATGCTAAGGAACTGGTAGTGAATACTGACTGTTTATATCTAATTTAATATTATAAATTATGCACAGTACATTAATATGTTTTAAAACCAGTCTGTGATGGACCAAATTATTTTGGTCCATCACAGACTGATGGATGCATACCAAATTAAAATTAAAACCAGTAAACCAAATTATTAAGGAACAGGTGCACAAGTGGCACAAATTCCAATATTTAAACAAATGTATGACTGCTCACTCTTTGTTTCTGTATAAATAAAGTATGGTAATAATTATTCATATCCAAGCATAACTCAAAGAGAGAGATTTACTGGAGGTTTACCTATTTGAACATAAATGACTAATTTGTAGGCTACCAAGGCTGGCATGTTAATTAATCTTTAACAATTACAGTACTTTCTTTTAACTTTTGGATTAATTTAAATAAAAGAAACAGCAATTTACTTTAACAAAAGAAAAACACTTTTGCAGTAGTATATTCAAAATTTATGTTAAGGTGATTATAAATGATCTATATCAAATAACTTACCATAATCTTGACAAATTTCAACAGTGACTCTGGACTGCTTTATGAAGGTATTGTTAAAAAAATTGCAAGCAGCTTGTGCATCTTCATGCTTCTCGTAACCTATAAACCCAAACCTCCGAAATTCTCCATTCTTATACTTCAGTTTGACATCTGTTATATTGCCTTTCAAGCTAAACTGTGTCTTGATATCATCTTCCGTAATCTGAAATAGAAAATTATAAAATATTAACTTTCTCTTACATTCTATAATCACCTGCAATCATACGGCTTTCCTGATAATAGTACAGCACAAGTACACCTCCATAATCCAGATTATATCATTCTAGACCAGATCTAAATTTTGTGAAATACTGTACAGCTTTCAGGAAATTTTCACATGTTTGGCTATTTATTACTAAATTTTCTATATTTTTCATGTAAAAATTAAAATGAATATAAACTATAGAATTTTATTTTAAATATGCTCAATGGCTTTCTTAATGCTACCTGCCTACCTGTTGACTACCTGTTGATGATTCTCAGGATCAATGTATCTGCTGCCTGGTCTCTGACCAGGCCTTACCTTGAGGTTACCTTGAGATGCTTCCGGAGCTTAGCATCCCTGTGGCCCGGTCATCGACCAGGCCTCCTGGTTGCTGGACTGGTCAACCAGGCTGTTGGACACGGCTGCTCGCAGCCTGACATATTGAGTCACAGCCTGGTTGATCAGGTATCCTTTGGAGGTGTTTGTCAAGTTCTCTCTTGAACACTGTGAGGGGTCGGCCAGTTATGCCTCTTATGTGAAGTGGAAGCATGTTGAACAGACTCGGGCCTCTGATGTTGATAGAGTTCTCTTTCAGAGTACTGTACCTGTTGCACCTCTGCTTTTCAACGGGGGTATTCTGCACACCCTGCCATGCCTTCTGGTCTCATGTGATGTTATTTCTGTGTGCAGGTTTGGGACCAGCCGCTCTACTATTTTCCATGTGTAAATTATTATGTATCTCTCCCGCCTGCACTCAAGAGAATACAGATTTAGGCTCTTTAGTAGATCCCAATAATTTAGATGCTTTATTGAGTGGATTCTAGCAGTAAAGAATCTCTGCATGCTCTCCAGGTCAGCAATTTCTCCAGCTTTGAAAGGGGCTGTCATTGTGCAGCAGTACTCTCTAGAGAGCACTGGCATCTTGAACGTACCAAATGTATCTCATACGTTGCCATTAAAAACATGATTAGATCCATGTTACTCCTAGTTTTGTGTCCATTATAAAAATGATTAAAAATCTGATCACAACCATTCCCTTTTACTGTATTTCCCAAGCTCTATGGGTAAATTTTACTGAGCAAAATTTGTTAACTTTAAACCATAGTATGAAGGACAACTACCAGAACCTGCCTGTAAAGAGATTTCATCATATCAAACATATTTTCCATGCCCACGCCTCAAAACAATGTAGCAAGGCCCTAACCTAAGTGAACGAAAACTACACCAACTCAAAATGGAAACAAATCATTGAATTTTGTTATATCTATGTTATATGAATGTTATTTGGGGGCATATCATTATAAATCATTATAAATTAAAAGTTGTTCAATTTGCTTATAAATTTATTTATGAAATGGTTATAGAAAGGGCTGCAACTGGTCCAAGTTTCACCATCACACCCTAAACAGAAAAGGAGAAAAAAAATACACAACGTATTATGCAACGAATGTTCAACATTCTCAAATAATCTCAGGGAACACATGTGTCAACTAAAATGTCTACTATGTGCTGTAGAAGCACAAACTCTTGTAATAATTGTAATATGTATGTGCAATATATTTATATGTAAAATTTTTTTTTCTTCTTTTTTTTTTTGGCCAATTTTTTTTTTCGTTTGTTATCAAGGGATTTGCATGAAACTTGCACACCTTGCTCAATGGATGCCTATCTGCAAGGGTGCCAATTATGAACGAAATCTGTCGAAGTCAAGCTCAGCTACAGGTGGCCGAACTTGGATCTTTATTTTACTCTGGAAAGTAATTTACACCTTCAAAGTACTTCAGAGCTTTCATTTATTAATCAATTTACATGCAAATTACACCTTATATGTAGCGTTTGTGCTTCTACAGAATGTAGTAGACATTTTAGTCCAAAGTCTATTTGTTGATTTTATAAAAATTTATAAATATCATATATTGCATATTTTTTAGAAGGGTAACTTTGAATAATTATATTATTGCACTAAACACTTTTTTGATAAAACTGATCACTAGAATCCTTTATTATGTGCTAAATTTAATATCTGAGTGTTATAGAAATGATTTTAGTTGACACATGTGTTCCCTGAAACTATTTGAAAATTCGTTGCATAATTCGTTGTGTATTTTTTTTCTCCTTTTCTGTTTAGGGTGTGATGGTGAAACTTGGACCAGCTGCAGCCCTTTCTATAACCATTTCATAAATAAATTTATAAGTAAATTGAACCACTTTTAATTTTACAATAATATGCCCCCTTAAATAGTGCTCATTAGCTTTCCCAAAACTCCAAATACTGTACATCTTTTAGTGTTAAGCCAATCAATGAAACTCATTAAAAAGGAGACTGAAGCAATAAGTAAGTTTCAATGAGTGAAATTAAAAATGTATCCTATAAAGAAAACCTGTTTATAAAAAGATTTTTTCCCTTATTACAAGTACTGTACAGTATTTCTCAGGATCTTGCTGCTTAAAGTTTATTGCAAAACAGTTCTTATTGATTGCTGCTGCCAATGGTGGCTAATTTATAGCCACCATACTGTGCACCTAATAGTCATTGAATAAATGGTAGTTTACTGTGCACTACATATTCATCCTGCAAGCAGTATTTCACTGTGCTCACCACTCATCCTGTGAACAGTACTTTATTGTGCTCTTATCACAGGTGCAGCCTTCAAGCATCACTCCTCCATTCAGGCACCTACATTTAGAGTCATTCTCCAACATAAAATCCATTGAAACTTTAAAGTATCCGCTTAACTGGAGTAGAGTGCTCCATTTTCTTTCAAAGGAGCCACCATAATGGCTGGACAAGTACTGAGAACAAGCTGGTGAACGACCCAATGACGCGGGTTAAATCAGTACTTACTGGGTGACAGGCCAACAGCAATTAAGGCTCAACCAATACTGGGGTCACCTGACTCGCAAGGGAGGCGAGGAGGTGCAGGCCAGTTGTCACTACACCTTGACTACTCAGAGGAGAGTGACTTGGCTAGAACAGAAGACTCTTGGTTGACATGAAGTGCTCATGGAAGCGATGCCATCATCAGCAAATAACTTCCTTGGGAAGTTGCCAGAGTACAGTACAGGGTGCCATTGTCTGGAGGAGAACTTATGGAAGTACAGGTGGATCCGGGATTCACCGCTGCCCTTTGCACAGCCAAATAAAGGGTCAGAGATAGTCGTGTGGCTGACTCAACATTAGGGATATATCTGGGAGAAGGGGGGTATGTCAGTGTGTAGTCCTGATCATCACCAGTCGGCAACTAAAGGTAGAGGTGAGAAAGTACAGTAATACGAAAACTAAGTGCTTAGTGTGGAATGTAAAAGAAAACAGTTGTGTGGTGAGACTGCCACACCAAATGGCCCAAGTGAGTCACACAAGTATCTAAGGGTCATCTGGCCAAGCAGTTGTGGTGAACAGTGCCATATTCAGATGATCAGTTGTTACAAGGGGAAAGTTGATTTTGATTGGTGATTATAACAGATAGCATTAATGTAACAATCACAGAAGGTGGACCCTATATTACATCCATCAGTAGGTACTTGTTTTGTTGCAATTTCTTTAGTTGGGATAAATGTATTCACTGTTGATTGTATGATTTGCATGTTCTGCATTCGCCATTGTTTTGGCCAGGAATATATTCGTACGTTTTTCATTAATTCTTTTGGTTTTAGTGAAGACAGTAGCTCCTGTAAATCAGTGCTCCCTGTTCCATCTCTACCACATTCTGCACCCTACAGAGCGAGACTGTGTCAAATCTAGCTTAAGGTTCCCAGGGCATGTGCATAGAAACTTCCTCATACACACTCAATTTTTTTTTTTGTGCATAATCTTCATGTCAAATGCTCCAACTTTTCCTTATGGAGCAACATCATATCATGAACAGAAAAAACAAGTTGAAAATTATTGTTTTAGAGTATAGTTTACTGTAAAGCATTTTTTGAATGTGGCCATCCAAATATGTGCCAAATTTATACGCAAAATATTTATAACTCCAAATGTTATGGTTTTATGACTAATCGATTCACTAGAAACCTTAGCACTAAGAACTTTGCACATAATATGTAAAAATGGTGAGAATCGGTCAGAAACTGAATGTTTTATTAGGTCTCAAAGTTGAAAATTTTTCATAAAGAAAAATTGCATTTAAAGTTCTCGACAATAAATATAGTACTTCTAATTTATGACACAACTTGTAAGTTATAATTAAGATTGCTTGGCATTCGTACTCAAATATGTGAAAGTTGTAGGTAAATATGTGTTGAAATGAAGTCAAGAAAATAACCCCCCAAAAAACAAAATATAGGGATAAGTTAGGGATAACTGAAAAACAGACACTGGGCCCCTTAACTGTCTAACAGTAGGTTAGACATATATATGAGATTGGGTAGATATAAATAGGAACTGCCTCGTATGGACCAATAGGCCTTCTGAAGTTACCTTTATTCTCATGTTATTATAACGAAGCATATATATTGCAATAACTTTATTACCCATTTATTAGTGATAAGGCCCTAATCTGGTCCTCATTCATCAATACAAGCTAAATAGACAAAGAGAATAGTGTTTGAACTCTGCAAATAAATCGGCCAAAATAAAATGTCACAACCTTGGCCACCTGTGGCTGATTAACAGGTTGACCAATTTTGTTCAAACTTCACATGCTTAGTGCCGTATATACATTCTCCAAAATGTAGAAGTCACAACAAAATCTGCATAGAAGCAGAGAGAGAGAGAAAGAGAGAAAGAGAAAGAGAGAAAAAAAAAAAGTGGTTAACTTTTTATACAAAGGGACACCATTGGGCAATGTATTATATGATATATACTGTAATAGAATACTAAATAATAACATTACTAACTCATTATTATGTGTGAAATCTGGCCTTCCAGGAGGCACCAGCAGCATATCTACTTTGTAGACCCTCCTTACTACTACTGTACTTGTCTTCTTTGTGCATTGGACAGGTGCTTGTATCTCTTTGTCCCTGATTTCCAGAAAATAGGTGTAATCAGTACCGGTCGCTCATGGATTTAAAAAAAATATATATATGTATGTGTGTATGTATGTATATATGTATGTATGTATGTCTAACATATGCTTGAGTTAATTAAGGGATCTTACTTCTATTATATTCCACAAATCAACAACCCTGTTACCGAACCAGAATTTACCCAGGTCTTTCCTAAATCTAAACTTATCCAACTTACACCCATTATTTCGTGTTCTGTTATGTGTTGATGGCTTTTAATACCTCTATTAATATCCCCTTTGTTATGTACATTCATCCACTTGTATACCTCTATCATGTCACTCTAATTCTTTGCCTTTCTAGAGAATGTAATTTAAGCTTTGAGCTTAAGCTTCAGGCATGGGAATGCTTCTCCCATACGCATTCAGGTTCCCGCTCTACCCTACTCGACTTGGAAATGCTGGGCATTTTTGGGTAAGAACTGGGATCTTTATCGTGCATAGGTGTGAGAAAGGTAATGTGCATCACTTGCTATACTCATTCTGTGAGCTATAATGCAAAAGGATTACAGCATAGGGTACAAACAGTCTTAGTCAGATCTAAGTGGATGTTTGACATTTTCTACAATTTCTGTGCACCTTAATTACAAATACAAATATTTATTCAGGTAAAGTACATACATACAAAGTGAGATACAAAACATTGATGAATTTATAGATAGAGCTAGTACATACAATGCCTATAGCCACTATTACGCAAAGCATTTTGGGCAAACAATTATATTGTCCAGGGGAAAAAAAAGTGTTATTAATAATGATTTTAGGCTACACAACTTACTCTTTAATTACATACATTTTCCTATACCTTCGAAAACCTCAATATATTTACTACTGCATATACAGTTCAGAAAGGTATTTTATCATTATTAATAAAATTATTAGAAATTTTGTGCAATGTAAATTTAGAACTCTCAAATGGCTCCATTTTCACAAAATGTAAAATGTAATGATGTAGTCTCTCTCTCTTAAGTTGTATTCAAAGCTGACAAGTTCTGGGTATTAATACCCCAGTATCATAAAGTATTAAATATACCAACACAAAATGGAACACTAAACAATAGATATAAATTGGATAAATTTAGAATTAGGAAAGACTTGGGTCAAAACTGGTTTGGAAACAGGGATGTTGATTTGTGGAACATATTACTGGATGTTACGGTATCAACACCGTTGCTGGAGTGAGGAGTGGCGATTTTGGCGCCATCTATGGACCTACACTCCAACTCCAAGGCATTGAGACAAAGACAACGCCATCTGTTGGCGGAGGTGTGGTGTCTGTGAAAGGTTCCTGTTTCATACCTCTCTTAGGAGGTGAGGTCAATGATGACGACCTCTGGTGAGTGAAGTAACAATATCAGTGACATCTAGATTGTGCATTCGATAACAATTTCAGTTCCTTGTTGAAAGATTGTCATCCTATGTTCTCCCTGTATACTTTCTGTCTGCCTAATGATTTTTATGATCAGAGGTGATGTGAAGAGTCTATTGCACTGTGAAAATCAGTTCACCTTGGGCAGTCCAGAACTCCTGACTTGTTCCCAAGAGGACAAGTGACTGCTGTCAGTCGTAAGCAGTGTGTTGGCTGTTGTACAGTACTTAGGCAGTGTTATGTACAGTAGACTGATGTGCCCGGGATTTGGCCAATAGAAGTTACAAGACGACAATAGTGGCCGTCTGCTGAGAAGTGCTGATAGCGTGTTGCTAGAGACTTCTGCCAGGGTGTTTCTGGAGAGCAGATGTGGAGTATTGGGACATCATGACAGGGTGTGTGAACTGGCCCATATTGAGGAAGGTGAACTCGCTGGTGATTACCACCGAGTGTGGACGACGTGTACTCGAAGATAGTGAACTCACTGGGATTTGAAGAACACTGCAGATATATTGTGTGTCCTGGGTGAAAGCGACACTGTGTACATAAGTGTAGTTATACTTTGATAGATAATATATTGAAGGTGTAATTGCTTCTTGTTTATCCCCTTTATTCCTTGCACTATTACTTGCTACTGCCAATTCTTGAATTTGCCATTGACTTGGGGTGGGATCATAGAAGAAGAGGCTTTAAGACACATTATGCAGAAAGAACCCGGTTACTGGCTCATACAGGCCGTAACAATGGATAACACAAAAGACGTGGAATCACCTGACTGTTTCAAACATATGAATGAGTTTGGGTGGATATAAATAGGAGCTACCTCTATAAATAGGCCTGACAACTAAGTGGACAGCACTTTGGATTTGTACTCCTGAAGTTCCGGTTTCGATCCCTGGTGGAGGCGGAAACAAATGGGTAGAGTTTTTAACCCTGTTGCCCCTGTTCACCTAGCAGTAAATAGATACCTGGGAGTTAGACAGCTGTTACGGGCAGCTTCCCGTAAGATTGGGCTACAGGGACATTAAGCCCCAAAATCGTCTAAAGATAACCTCAAGATAACCACATATAACCCAAAGACCCACTGCAATGTCCACAATTTTTTTTTCTTAAATCAATTAAGAATTACAAATTATCTTAGTCTGTGAAATGTTTTATTGAGACAAATTTTATACATTTAATACACTGTAAATGCAAAATATAACTAAGTGAACCCAAATTAAATATTTTGGAAATGTTATAGAGCAGCAGTAATTAATTTTTGTAAGTATTTATTCCAAATAAACTAATGCCCAGGCAGAGTCAAAGTAAAATTATGTTCATTAATATTCTCAATTTATAAGTACAACAAATTCTAATAAATATTTTTATTAACAAAATATACAGAAGAACAGTACAGTAGTTGAATAGTTGCTGTACAAAAAAAACATTTATTAAAGCCACAGTACACAGAATTTTGAGCATTCATGTTTTCTTTTAGTAATCATATCTTAGAAGATAGCTACTACACGCTAATTCACAAGTGTCTGAAAAGGTTCCTGTATGTGAACCCAACTGTGAATAAAGTTACCATCTTTGTAATTACTTAAGTGTAATTACACAGATCATAAGGTGTACACAGGCATGCACTTCCACAGGCATCTGGATCATGGATCCAGATGCCTGTGGAAGTGCATCTGGAATGCATTCATTCCAGATCTAAGTCAACTCCCATATCAGGAATGGTTGAGGGTCTCAGGGCTATTAACACTGCAAACCAGGCATGACAGGACGGATCTCATTAAAACTTTTGAAATAGACCAATTTGGAGGATGTTGATCCAGACAGCTTCTTCAAAAGGTCAGATGTAACAAAAAACTTGCAACGGCTTCAAGCTCAACAAGACATAATGAGACTGAGAACAGGAGATGCTTTTTTCACCCACAGGATAAACCCATGGAACTGCCTACCTGCAGAAGCTGTAAATGCCAAAACACTGGAGTTTTAAAATCCAGCTAGGAAAAAAATGAGGACAAATAGGTAGGGGAGACCTTTGACAAGCCTCCAGCTTCCTGTCCTCGTCGAGGCCACTAATGTGTTAGTGGCCCTCAGGTAAATTATTATGTCCTTATGAGACATGTTAATATTAACATAGCATGCTGTGTTAACATTGTTGCAATCAAAGTCGGACCACCAAGCCTCACAAAGCTTGAACACACGAGTATCAAAATAGTCTGGACCCATTGTATTTTGTGAAACCTTACCTGCTTTGGCAGATTCTTAATGATAAGCCGAGACATATTTGATGTTAATATACTAGGCCTATTGTACGGGCCACAGGCAGATATACGCCTGTTATGGCGACTGACACGTCTTTGCTAGACTAATTTCTTTGGCGATTATTTGATTAGAATACATTCGTGCTTTTAATTATGTCCATAAAAAGAGGCTGGGATCTCCTTAGTCTGTCTTGGAGACGGACTCGTGGTGCTCAGGTTGTGGCAGCCGAGTTTGTTTACACTCGGCTCATTCACAACTCATCAACTCATTACTTAATCCGTCACACAATGTGATACAAAGTCAAAAATTATAGAACGCCCGTTTAAGGTAAATATGAACTTTGCAAATTGCAATGTAAATAAAGGTTAATTAGCGTAATTGATATGTGATTGATATATATTTGAATAAGATCTCTTATAAAACTAGTTATAATAACGTTAGTTTTTCTTAATTATATAATGCTGTTTTTTCGTTGTAATTCCGCCTCTTTAATTGTAAATAATTTAGGACAATAAAGGAAAGCGTATAAGCTGTTGAATGACGAACGCATGACAGCACTTACAGCTTCATATATAAACAGATGATAAATAGATTAAACTAAATCAAGAGTGCTGTTTATTTTGCAAATTAATTAAACTTGTAATTTATTTTTAAATCATCATCTTAACTAAGACTTAATTATATGAATTGCCCATTTGACCATAATCGAGGAACTGCAGTTCGATAGACCGGATTTATCCAATTAATGCTTAAAATCAGCAAGTATTTAACGTATACATTTAAATTTGCCATTGGACATTTAGCATAAATCGATAAAGCATGGGTGCGTAGTTGTTTCTCATAAATCAGACGTTGAATTTGAAGAGAAGCTGATAACGTTCCAAACTTGACTGCCTATTTATTTTAAATATATCCCTCGCCGCTGTAAGAAACGCAACAGCCTGCATGTATTACAACTATTTTCAGGTGTAATTCATGGGGTAAAATGCGTAAATCCCGTGGAACATGGTTGATTATTGATCGTGGCGTACCCTTGTACGCTCCTGCGTACTCAAGTGTTTCTCTTGGTTCTTTTGTTGAATTTCATATTTTCTCGTTTTCTAATTCCTGCAAATACTTTTCCGAAATATATTTAAATTATCCGAAGCCTTCTGTTTTGTAATTGAAACGGCTGGCAGGTGCCAGAATATCCAGAAATAACTTTATTCCAGCAAATATTTGTGAAAATTGTTGCGTGTTTGGCGCCATCTAGGGAGAGGACGCGTGCTTCAGACTCCATGTTTGGCGTACAGTGAGGATGAAGAAAGATACTGCATGGCGTGATATGATGGCTCACCCCGGCGGTGGCAATGGACCGAGAGGCAGGAATATGCCCCATGATGGCGAGGAGAAAGGGTAAGCAGCTATTGGGGGTGAAATAAGGGGTGGTGAGCGGGGTAAAATGCGGGAAAGACACGTAGTAAATATTAGGCGCGCACACGGCGTTTTGTGCCACGCGCTTCTGTTTATTTGGGTACAGAAGGCTTTCATGTGTTCCTCTGGGCTTTTTGAGGCTGTGAGAGGCGCTGGCTTATGCCTGCTGGCCTCTGGCACTCCTCTCGTCACCCGCTAGGTCCGTAGTGGATGGAAATGGAGTGAATATAGGGGATATATCGGCAGTTGAAGGGGAAATAATCTGGGTGGAGGGGTGGTTGTGCCCCGCATGTTAGGAGGCGGCTACCGGCCCTCAGACCTTGGTGGGCATGGCCCTCGTACCCGGCCCGGCCCCTGGGGCTGCCCCTAGTCACCCCTACCACCACCACCCCCACTACCACCACCTCACACCAGTTCACCACTTACTCACCCATGGGTCTGTATATCGTGTTTGCATAGTACCTAGGTAAAAAAAAGTTTGCATAGGTAAACAATTTTTTTTTTGCATTAAATTGTACATTTATGGCATATTTGTTTATTGTAAACACTGAAGGCACCTACTGCTCCTTGGTGGAATTTGCCTCGTGTTCTATGGGGTTTTCCGAGTGTCTGGATCAGGTCGTTTCGTGCTTGTGATGGATCGCTGAAAGAATTTCAAACTTAACCCCAACGAGCCCAATGTAACCATAGCTTAACAATATATATTATATATATTATATATATATATATATTATATATATATATATATATTATATATATTATATATATATATATATATATATATATATATATATATATATATATATATATATATATATATATATATATATATATATAATATATATTGGGCTCGTAGCAATGTAACAAAGAATGAAGGTAACGAGATAAACTGCATTGAACACTCTAGTATCAAACCTCTTGTAAAATTAGGTGTATTTTTTGTTCCTTATACAGTATATAATATATTTCAATTTTAAATATATCGGTTATGCTAGAATTTTTGTTCTGTGTAGCCCTTTATTTCTGAAATTTAGACAAGTTTAAAATGTACAGTGTACTTTGTAAATAAGGTAATGCCTTGTTTAATTGTATGGGGTAATCCCATTATTTTTAGCATTTATATATTCTTAGCTTCTATATATTTGCCTCTATATATTCTTAGCATCTATGTATTCTTAGCCTCTATATATTTTGGCTTAATCAATTTGCTACAGTTTTATTTGATCAAAATGAACTGTGCAGAGTTCTAAACTTGTACTTAGCTAATTGCACTCACCTAGTTGTGATTGCGGGGGTTGAGTTTTGACTGGTCCCACTTGAAATAAACATATTCAGGTTCCTGAGCCTACTGGGCTCTATCATATCTACATTTGAAACTGTGTATGGACTCAGCCTCCACCACATCACTGCCTAATGCATTCCGTCTGTTAATTCCATGAGTTGTGTGTTTTAGCACATGGCTGGCAAACTTTGGTTAGGCTGCCAGATTGTAAAGGCCCGTAGCACCAGCATTGTTACATACACTACATCCTTGAAAATCTAGATCACATCATTCCTTACAAAATCCGTTTCCTGAATATTTGCCCCCCTATTTTGGCTATGCAAATTTCATTTTTCTATTGTATGGTGTGCTATACAGTCGTAATGGCTTGGCACTTTCTTCTGATAATTCCTTCCTCTATTGTATAGTGAATAAGAAAATTACAGTGTACACGTTTCAGCATAGTCCCGGTGGGAGCAGTCGAGTTCGTTCTAGACTTTCAATCGAAAATTCTGGGTTCGAGTCCTGGGCTGAACAGAAATGATTAGGCACATTTTAGGGGCCTGACAGCTTAGTAGGCTGCTTCAGATTCATAGTCCTGAGGTTCCGGGTTCGATCCTCGGTGGAGGTGGAAAAAATGGTCAGTTTCTTTACCCTGATGTTCCTGTTCACCTGGCAGTAAATAGGTACCTGGGAGTTAGACAGCTGCTGTGGGCTGCTTCCCGGGGGTGTGTAAGAAAAAAGGAGGCCTGATCATGGACCGGGCCGCGGGCACACTAAGCCCTGAAATCGTCTCAAGATAGTCATAAAAATATAAATGGGATATGTGCATAATATGCACAAAAAATTAAATGCTCTTTGGGTCACATACCTCATAGTAGTTGGTCTCACTATCTCTGAGGCAGCAAAATGCAGTTATGGTACTGTATCATGATTTCTAACTAGTAGTCACCTTGAATTGGCCTTGAAGACCTCTCTATCCATGATTATTGGCAGTGTTAGCTACAGACTGTGCACAACCAACTGTGCACAGTTTAATGGCAGTGTTAGCTACAGACTGTGCACAACCAACTGTGCACAGTTTAATGGCAGTGTTAGCTACAGACTGTGCACAACCATTGCCATGCAACTCATTAGTCAATAGCATTATACAGATTGTCATGTTTAAGGTTTCAATGTTTTTATCATTTGTTTTTACCACTGCTCCCGTTTTAGCTTCAAAAACTTTTTTCCTCTATAGAAACTGCATTAGTACCAGTACCTTACTCCACTATAAATGCTTTCCTTTCCAGCCTTGATTACATGTTTCTAATAAATTTGTTTTACTGAGTATGAGTACAGTACATTAGTCATGTGGTCAAGCAGGCCTTGTCCGTGGTAAGGAATTTTCATGTACCCTTGACGGTGGTACCTGACAATCTCCTAGTGCATGGCTTGGATTCAACTTGCAATTACCATATCAGAGGAATGCCAGTGAAAATGATAGTAATGAGAGTTCAGATTATGCTGACAAGAAAAATACACAATCTCTTGGGAAAACGTTACATATGGAAGCCTGCTTATTCAATTTATAATACCAGTGCTATTCATAGTTAAAATTTTGATACAAATAATATATTTTATTAGTATTTACAAATTAAAATGTAGGATTTGCTAAAGTTAGCAAACAGGGTGGTGGTAGAATTATGAACACTATATGATAATTGTTTGCAATGCATGCATATTCTAATCTACCTTGTGTTGGGTTTGGGGATCATTGTCACCATTCCCCAGTCTAACTGGGCCTCCTGGTTAGTGATATTGTCAACCAGGCTGTTAGTGATGCTAGGTTGCCACAGTAGTTAACTCCAGGTACAGCTCCTCATTACCCACTAACATCTCACTAATTAGCTGATACTTAAAGGGCTGTGGAGACAAGTGTATTCCTTACTCATTTCCCAACAAAACCAAATTGGCTGTATTGAGCCTCTTAATGCCCTGAGCCGTAGGCTGCAGCACCATCTCTCGCACTCTTGCCTGAGATGCCTAGTGCTTGAAGCTTCAATATTAATCCAGAGTGCCAGACATGATCAAAGGCTCCTATGTCTAGAGCAACAACACAGCTAATCTTGGACTCATCCAGTGACTGATGCCACTTAGTGGAGAGATTTAGCAAGAGATCAGCAGCAAATTGGCCTTTTCTAAAACCATACTGTCGATTACATATTAGCCGATGATCAATAAATGATATCATTTGCTGAGCGATTAATGATTCTAGGATTTTACCAGTAATGGAGAGCAGTGACACTGGTTTGTAGTTACCAACTACTGAGCGGCGGCTCTTTTTGTAGTTACCAACCACTGAGCGGCTCTTCTTTTTGTGTACTGGAACATCTACTTTCTTCCATAAGGAGGGCCAAATTCCTTGAGCTAAGCAGAGTTGGAAGAGGCATGCGAGAGGTGGAGCCAACAGGTCAGCACAGCTGCTTAGTAGTCGTGGACTGACTTATCTGGCCCCCACAGCTTTGCTCGAGATGGTTATCTTGAGATGATTTCGGGGCTTTAGTGTCCCTGCGGCCCGGTCCTCGACCAGGCCTCCACCCCCAGGAAGCAGCCCGTGACAGCTGACTAACACCCAGGTACCTATTTTACTGCTAGGTAACAGGGGCATAGGGTGAAAGAAACTGCCCATTGTTTCTCGCTGGTGCCCGGGATCGAACCCGGGACCACAGGATCACAAGTCCAGTGTGCTGTCCACTTGGCCAACCGGCTCCCTGCTTGTGTCTAGCATTTTTAGGAAATGGAGAACGTCAGCCTGCTGTATACCACTTCAGTCATTCTAGACACAGTGCTTGGGGCAAGATGTGGAGGCTGACGTTCAGGATCGGGGACTTGCATCTTGGCAGCAAAGTGGTTTGCCAGTAGATCAGCCTTCTCCTGATTGCAACAGTTCCAACCTCTCAGTTTAGAGGTGGGATTGTGTCCTTAAATGAGTATCCCTGCCGATCCCACAGAGGACCACCAGACCTTGGATCCAACCCTTCAAGATGCAAGTTTTCTTTGAGTTTCGGATTCCCCATCTGGATATAGCCCACTTTTAAACTTCCTTCAATATTCAACAAGATTGTCTATGAATGTTTCTGTTGTGAGCCGAGGAATGCCATTTCAATCACCTCCAGGCCTTGTTTTTGGCTTAAGCTGCCGTCCGGCAGCGATATCCAAACCAAGGCTGATCAGTGGGCTTGGTCACATTACCAGTGAGGGAAATGTCTATGCTGGAGGTCCATTATACAACTAGTGAAAGTGTTTGATTGGCTGTTCACGTTACTCTGGAGCAAGGCATTCCAATCAGTTGCTTCAAGCTCTGAATGGAGGGCTGGCCAGTTAACTGTCCCAAAGCCAGGTACAGTAATTTGAGCAGATTCTTCACCTCAATCTGTGGGGATAGCCAGTGTAGTAAAAACAGCCTAGTGGTCTGAAGAACCAACATCTCCCAGAGGTCTGTAGTGAACTATGCTTGCAGGAAGGTCAGTTACGACAGGATCAAGGGAAGAGCCTAATGTGTGGGTTGGAAAGATTACAAAAGTTGAAGACTGCTAAGAGTTCATCAAAATCCCTCTGTATGAGAGAATAGTTTGAGGTACTCTTCTCACTCTTCACTCTCCTCTTGCTCTCTTCTCTCTCCTCTTGCTCTCTTCTCTCTCCCTCTGCTTGCTCGCTCGCTGGCTCGCTCTCTCTCCTCTCGCTCGCTGGCTCGCTCTCTCTCCTCTCGCTCGCTGGCTCGCTCTCTCTCCTCTCGCTCGCTGGCTCGCTCTCTCTCTCTCTCTCCTCTCGCTCTCTCTCCTCTCGCTCGCTGGCTCGCTCGCTCGCTCGATCTCTCTCGCTCTCTCTCTCTCTCTCTCTCTCTCTCGCTCTCTCTCTCCTCTCGCTCTCTCTCTCCTCTCTCGCTCTCTCTCTCCTCTCTCGCTCTCTCTCTCTCTCTCTCGCTCTCTCTCGCTCTCTCTCTCCTCTCTCGCTCTCTCTCTCTCCTCTCTCACTCTCTCTCTCTCCTCTCTCGCTCTCTCTCTCTCCTCTCTCGCTCTCTCTCTCCTCTCTCGCTCTCTCTCTCCTCTCTCGCTCTCTCTCTCTCCTCTCTCGCTCTCTCTCTCTCCTCTCTCTCTCTCTCTCTCTCCTCTCTCGCTCTTTCTCTCCTCTCT